ACACATACACACACACATACACACACACTAACACACACACATACACACACACATACACATACACACACACACACATACACACACACTAACACACACACACACACATACACACACACACACACACACACACACACATACACACACACACACAGGAAGGCCTCCGGGTCACCGACATGAGATCCGGCTCCTGCTGTCCCCACTCACAGTCCCCACTCACAACACTGAGCAGACCCTGGGGCTCAATGGTGTTCTAACAGCTCGTCACTAAGTATTTGATGGCTAATGAATGGACGAATGAGCAGACTACATGTGGGATTTTAAGCAGATCACAATTTTCTCATCTATAAAATGGGCAATTCAATTTAAATTCTCTCTGATGTTACCTCTGGGTAATAATTTCTCTCATGAAACATTTTTTACTTTAGTGTCTGGCGTTAAGGGAGAATCCAAGAAAGAAAAAGGAATGACCTTCCTACCTATAACAGGTAAACGGGCAGGGTCTCCTCCTGCGCTCACCATTCTTGGGCAAATTCCATGGCCCTCTGTGCCTCCCTTCTCTCTCCATGGCCGGAGACTGAGTCTGCAGCTAACACTGACAGTCACCGTCGTCATTCCCAAGGGCAGCAGCTGACCTTATGGCTTGTTGGATACTTGGATTCTCTCACAATCTTATGAAATCACAAAGACCAATCCGACATTCCACCAGTGACAGAGGGTTTTATAAAGGGAAGTATTGTCACTGGCCATCATCACCTTCGTAATAGTTTCATCTCTCTTTGCCTTTCCTTTGTGATGGTATGAAATTGGCTGTGCAGAGATGACGAATACCTGGCACGGTACGGAACAGAGTCAGGGAGCAATGCTCTCTTCCTATTTTTTCTTATTTTGACACAGAGTGTCTCTAAGTCGACAGGCTGACCCTGAACTTCTGATCCTCCTGCCTCAGCATCCAGACTTACTGGGCTTACAGGCGTGAGCCACCAAGCCTGACCTAAAGTTTTGATAAATAAGCAAATGATTTTATATGCTTTTTTCGTGGGAGAGTCATGAAAGTTACTTTTAATTTTCTAAATTTTTATCTTTAATTAGTTAGAACACTCACATGATTCAATTACACAAGGTACAAAGGTATATAAAGATAAGACGCTTCCCCAGCCCACTCCTCCCCTTTCCCTAAGGATGCCAGAGGCACCAATATGTGAACAAGCAGGATCATTTTTCATGAATGTTAACCCTATTGAACTTCCAATTTTCTCCTCCTCAAATGAGAACACAGTTCCTGTTCTGTAGGTAATCATAAAGGATGAGAGGTGATAAAAAACTCAGTGTGAAGAAGCATGAGATGTGTCAGGTACCTTCCGTTGTAAAGATACCACTGTCTGCTTATGGTTTGGAGATGCTGGGGATGGAGCCCAGGGTCTCCCACATGCTAACCAAGCACTCCGCCACTGAGCTACCCATTCCCCAAGGTGGCTTTTTTATCCAAAAATAGAATAGAATAATGAATTTATATAATATATCCAGAAATTTATTTGAAAAATGCTTCTGTATAACATCTTATTCCATAATTTGTGCTCCAGGGGTATTTAGTTCACACTTCAAATAGTGTTACTAAAATCCACCCAAGGATTTGCAATTAGAAAAAGGAGTGCTAGGCATAATTTTTTTTAAGTAAAAGGAGTCTGTTCAAGAATTATGGCCAGAAAATATAATAATTATGGTATAATTTTAATTTAATATTTATTTTCATAGGCATAGTCCATAAGTACGAATTCAAGAAGATGGGATGGACTCCTTGAAGCCATTCCATTTATTTCTGAGAGATTATTTTGCAGGAATCATGTATGCTTTATTAGATTCTATTAAATCTAAAATTATTACTATCAAATCAATGAGAATACACCTAAATTTATGGAAGTAAAAACAATGTGAGTAGATTTATTTACTTAAAATAGCAAACTAGTAATAAAAGAGAAAGAAAGAGAGAGAGAGAGAGAGAGAGAGAGAGAGAGAGAGAGAGAGAGAATGAATGAATGAATTATGGTCAGAAAGACTGAACCAGCCTGAGCACGGTGGCAGAAAAGTGTGGGCATCATGCCAGGCAGCAGCCCTCAGTAGCCCTGTACCCTGCACAGAGGCTGCTGCTGCTGGGTGGGTAGCCAGCAGGTCTGGGGGTGCCCCCCCAGATCTCAGGGGCTGCTCCAGGGCAGACTGTGCGGGTACAGTGCTACTCAGAGATCCTGAGGAGACAGAGCTGGACTCTTCCAAGCCAGTGAACAAGTCATTTGACAGCTTGACCTGCTTAATAATTTATGTCTGTCTCAAAGTTCCTTTTGTTGTAACATAGCCCCTCTACCTCTGGAAGCCACGTTAGGGGAAAGGGAATTCATAGCCCCCATGTGTCTCTAACCCCAGAATATCTGGTATTTAACCAAAAAAACTTTGATAACTGGTAAAAAGCCACAATGGTGTAAGCAGGCAAAAGTCGACCTGACCTCAGCTTCAGTAGGATACTTGAAAAGCAGGAGGGCACAGGCTACCTAGCCATCGGTGGAGGGATGGATAAAGAACTTGTGGCCTTTACGTAGAATGGAATATGATTCAATTTTGAGAGAAGAAAATCCTTCCTTTTGCAACAATACAGATGAATTCTGAGGACACAGTGTTCCATGGAATAAGCCAGTCACAGCAGGGCCCTTGCATGAGGACTCTGGAAGAGGGAGGCTCACAGGCACAGAGAGGAGAAAGGCGGTCACCGGGGATGGAGGAGGAAGGACGCCGAGTTTGTCTTCAACACGTATACAGTTTCAGATCTCCAAGATGAAGAAGTTCTAGAGCTCTGCCGTACAACACAGTGCCTATGGCTAACGATACCATACTGTGCCCGAAAAATGTGGTTGGGGGTAGACTTCATATTTATTGTTCTTATCACACTAAAATGAAACTTAAAAAAAAAGCAGGTGGAAGCAGCACGGACAAGCAGAGGGTTTTATCTTAGCCTCTAGCTGGCTGTGGGCTTAACTTTTATGCATCTCAATTTTCTCCCCCTTCAGATGGATAAGTCACATGAAGCTGCATTTCCAGGATACTATTTTCCTGATAAAAATTTTTATTTCAGTGTCTGGAAACAGAGGCATTAATAAGGAGAAAGATGGGGCTCTCCCAGGAGCAACAGGTAACTAGGCTTACCCTGGCTTACTCTGGAGTGCTGGGTACCTCTTTCAGACTCTCTGGGCCTTTGGTTCTTCCATCTATAAAATGGACATAAATCACCCTCTCCATCTAAATGTACGTGGAAAATAAGCATTAACTTTTTATTTTTTAGTTGTAGTTGGACACAATACCTTTATTTATTTTTATATGGTACTGAGGATCCAACTGAGCCTCGAATGTGCTAGGCGAGCACTCTGCTGCTGAGACACAACCCAGCCCAGCATTAAGGTTTACTTATGGCTGCAGCAAGGACAGTAGCAGATGTAGTGTGGCAGTAACTCCTCTAATGCAAGCTAACTGATCCTCCAGGTCAGTCATTTCCTCAGGAGGCCTTCTCCATCCCCAGCTCAGGGAGCTCAGAAGAGTGCTGACAGCACCCTGCTGTTCCCTGTATTGACATCTCTCACCTGTCATTACAGGTGAATCTCCTGCTGCCCAAGCCACAGACAGGAGCTTCCTCGAGCTAGAGACAATTATTTCCAGTTTACCTCATTGTACCCAACACCTGGCACCTTGCTAGGCCCTCCATGAGTATCTGTTGAATAGATGAATGAATGCTTTTGACATTTCAAATTTTCCTTTGATATTTTCTTGGACATCACAAACTTTGCCAAGTAGACAAGCAACCTGACACTTTGGAGGGACCTCTTCTCTGCAGTTCTAGGAAGTCGATTCTCAGCCCTTTGATACCATTACTCAGTTGGCACAGTGAAGGCAAGTTCTTGCTGTGCTCAGTTTCCTGACCCAGTTAAGGAGTTGGGTAGATTAGACTCTCTGTGTTGTAATCATCTTTTATATTCATTAAGATGTAGATTTGCAGGCCACACCCATCCCTGGGAGATTAAGATTAGGAGGTGAGGCTGCCTGCAAGAGGACTCTGGACCTGCCTTTCTCAGTTTCCCCCAGGGACCTTATTATACTGCGGAGCCTGAGGCCAGCTACAGCAGGGCTCCAGCTTCTCCAGCTCCCTGGAGGCTGGGAATGGGGACTTGCATTTCGGTCATGAAAACTTTTTCCTTCCTAGTGTCTGTCCTTAGAAGAGAAGAGAGAAAGGAAAAGGGGGTGGCATTTCTCGCTAACACCGGTGAGTCTCCCCCCACCACTTCACACAGATATGGGCTGCTGCGAATTCTACCAGCTCCCTGAACCTCCCTTACAGTAGGGTAGCAGCATCTCTGATTGTTAACTGAGCATTTAGGATAAGTTGAAGACAAGGCTTGCAGTAATATTAAGAGGAGCATGGAGCACTGTTGCTGCCAGGTCCACTCAGTTTCAAGCAACACTTGGGAGAGGAGGGGTTTCCCCTGGCAGTGTCTGTGCACGTGGCTGCACACATTGATACCTGGGGGTTTTGCTTTTTCATACTGATGACCTAAGAAACCTGGAGCTCTGAGGAGGGAGCCCAAGCATCAAAATCGTGGACTTTGAAACCAAATCTTCTCCGGTGATGTCAGTGGCCCATCAGGATTACACCCCTCTTTCACTCACAGCACTTATTTCCAAATTCAGAGCCACCTAGACCTCATGTGATATCCTTTGGGCTTCCCATTGCAGGTGACAAGTGTCCCACCAACCCCAAGCCCCTCCGAGACAGAGGTGAAACAATCCTGAGGGTTTGGGGGCTTCACTTGGTCACCATGTTGGTCACCATGTGTGTGGTTGACTGTCGCCTCTTGAGTTCCTGGTAGAAACCTCCCCTTGTCTTCAAGCCCCCTGTGCCTAGCACTGGGCACGTGCGCAGCCCCCAGCCAGGGTGAGAGTTCATCTGCCTGCTCTTTAGAAAGGAGAGGCTGCCTCTGTGGAGGACAGCCGGCGGCAGCCTTGCCTTCTCACCTCTTCCAGAGGTCCCTGCCAGGTCTGTGGATCTGTCGGCGCTGAACCTGACGGAGCTCGTGAACGGGATGCTGAGCAGAGCTTTAAAAGGTAAGGACTGCTGTCCGCACCCTCTACACCTTCTCTTCTGTACCCGTCTGCCACCTGGGCCAGATACACCCCTCCACTGTGCCTCCGTCTCTCCATGCTGGGGGCGGGGAGAATACAGAGTGCTGTCCAACCCACAAGGAGACTGAAAATACCAGTGAGAGGTAGGAGTCTACCAGCATTCTGAAAGCAAACTACACCCCAGACACGCTGTATGGGCAGGAGTCATAAACAGAACTCTTATAGCCATAAATAGCAAAAATTATCCATTAGATAAGTTAGCGTGATCCAGAATTTCTCTCCTTAAAGCATAATGAGTCCTACTGAGTGCGTACAATACCATTGCAATCAACTTCCTTTCTATGTTCTTTTAGATAGTATATACTTAATAAATGGGAATATATGAATCTACTATTATAAGAATTAGGAAGTAGATGGCTAGAAGTAGGACCTGCTAAAATGAAGCAAAGCAGGAAAGCAAAGCCCAGTCTTTACTTCATTATCTATATAACACTTCATTCAATAAATATTTGTGAAGCACCTGTCATGTACCAGGTGCTCCCTATTCTAAGTATTGGTGGCAAAACAGTGAACAAATCCAGCAAAGATCCCTGTCCTGAAGGACTCATATTCCAGGAGGTGAAGAGGTAAAGTAGGCAGCGACCATGACAAGCAGAGAATGGGAAGCCCTGCAGGGCCAGGGAGCTGAAGAGCCTCATTCAAATACTGAGGTCTGTGTTCATGGCATTCCCTAGGATGGTGCAGTACACACACGACACAACTGAATGCGGTGGCTTTATGCCTGTCCACTTAGTCATTTACTTATTCAACGTTATTTGAGGGCTTATTCCATTCCCATCTCAATGTGTGAAGCTCTAGCCGCAAAGATATGGCCCGCCCTCATGCCGCTCACATCAGAGCTGCCATCGATAGTGCTGCCTGGGGACATGTACGATAGCAGGGAGTGATGGATCATCGTGCCAACTCTGGAGAGACTGAAGCAGCGGACAGCAGGACAGGCTGCACTCCGGAGCTCCTGTTAACCCCATCCTGTCCCCTGCAAGGCCCTGCACCAGGCTCTGCAGAATGTTGCAGAATCAAAAGCTGTGACTAGCACCTTCAGGAGCTCAGCCTCTTCAATGCCTGATCTAACCCACAGAGCCCCCGACAAGGCGCTCCCACTCCCATTCCACAGACACAGACACCCAGGCACACCCCTGCCATTCAGACTGGAATTCAGGTCGGTTTAACCCAAGCCCATGAGCTCACCCAAGGTTTTCCACACTTGCTGCATGATCAGAAACACCTGGAGCATCTATTAAATATGTGGCTCCCAGACCCTGAGCCTGGAGATTCTGGTTCATTTAGTCTTAGCACATGCCTTTGGTAATTCTTACCATCAGAAAACCTTGAGGAACTGAGTGCCTGCGTATTCAGACTCCATTGCAGAACCCATATCCCAAGGAGCTCACAGAACACGGTCAGGGCTTCCCGCCTAGTGTATGGAATCAGGCCCTAAGGGGTTGTGCCCAGGAACTGAGGCAGAATGGGCCTCAGTTCTACTGTCCCCGCCACTACCCTGGTGGGTCACAGTCACCAATAAAAGTTTACTTCAGGCACTTGTTAAAATTCAGAATCCTGGGCACACCCACCTCCCTAGTCTTCCAGAACTGTGGCAGCACAAATTTCTGCTGTTCAAAGCCACCACGTTTGAGGGAATTGGTGACAGCAGCCTCAGGGAACTACGCTTGGGATTCCTACTCAAAGAGTCGCCGTGGCTTCAGAAAGACAGCAGAGCCAGGGGAAGGCGGGCGGCAGCCGGTCGTTTGGTCTTTGTTGTTTTATTATTTGTGTCCACTTTCATCATTGGCTTATTACGCATTAATTTTACTGTCTATCTGCTCTCGAAAAGTGTTTAAATACTATTATGTTCTGTGTTTTCATCTCCACCTCTGGACAGACAGCAAGAAGTTCTTCTCCTTGCTGAGCATCACCTCCTACAGCTCCTTCGCCTTCCACAAGTTCTCAGTGGCCATTTACAACAGTGAGTGCCGCTGGCCCTTCCCAGTGGTGCTCCTGGTGGGGAAGGCCAGCCGGTGTCAGGCCACTGTGTGATGGCTTCTCTTCCCAGTTTCTAACCTGAAGACAGTGGACGCGGCCCGATTCCCCACGAGGTACTGCTACTGCTTAAACAACCGCACCAATGACTTATCAGGTGGGTGGAGCCCGCTGCAAGACTCACCGTGTCTCCAGTTTCCCCTGCCCTTTGTTGTAAGGTAGGAAAATACAGTGAGATCTTTTGTGTTTAAATATATTCACATTCATTGTCCCAGAAAGTTACTTGCTTGGTTTTACTGTAGAGGAATGGCTGTGTGTGCACAAAGGGGCAAAGACAAGGTTCACACAGCACCATCAGGGAACAGCGTGACCATCTGTCATCAGGAAGATGGGCTATGTGTGATCAAGCTTTGGAAAACAGCCACAGACAACCCGCAGATGAGTGGGTGTGGCCAGATGTTTCCTCTGCATCGAAAAATGTCCCAGAAACTTTGAGTTAGAAAAAGAAGGTCGCAGGGGCTGGGAACGCAGTTCCCTGGTAGGGCACTTGCCTTGCCTATGTGAAGCCCTGTTTGCTCCCTGGCACTGCAAGAAACAAAAAGAAGAGAAAAGGGAAAAAATTACAAAGCGACACATAGAATACAGCATTATTGATGAAAACATTGTACGTATCTGGACACCAGATCAGCAATTTCTGGAGTCTGTAGTTTGGAGTAGAGACTGCTATTAAATGGAGACTTGTTTTATCTTTTTTTTTAAATTAAGAGTGTATCCATGATCCTTATATTTACAGAATTTTGAAAAATAGAAGTAAAATTATTCCCACTACTTCATGCATTCAACAAATTCTTTATTGAGCACATACTATGACCCAAGCACTTTTGCAGGTGTTCAGGCACCCAAAGTAGACACATCCCTGCTCTCCAGAGCTAAGAGACGGGGACAGAGAGTAAGTGAATAATTTGGAAATGCACAGTACTGACTGCCTGACCATAAGGACAAAGAAGCAGGGGAAGGGCAAGAGAGCTATAGGGCAGAGCTGCTGCTGTGTGCAGGGTAGCAGGAGAATCTCCAAGGAAACAAGGGCCGATGTTCAGGTGGTGGAGGGCAAAGGTCCAGTGTGTCTGGAGCAGGTGATCCAGGTCAAGAGTCATGGGGAATGAACTCAATAGGCGAGGGTGGGGTGCAGAGGATGCTGCAGGTCACGTGGGAGTTTATAGCCTGCTCAAGGATTTCCAAGTTTCCCTCTGAATAAAAAGGAAGCTGTAGTCTTGAACAGAGAAGCAGCAAGGTGGGAACGGCACCATAAGGGATCCATCTGCTGAAGAAGAGATGGTGAAGGAATCGAGGACAGAAAGCTGCTAAAACCTTCTCTCCTTTCCAGTTTTACTGAATATAAAATGCTTTCCATGGAATGACAAACTCCGGCAGGCATTAGCACTGGCTGTGCGATCTGTGAACATGAGCATTTCCTTAGCGGTGGTTGGACTTTTGGGTAGATTTTAGATTGTTCCCAATATCAACCATCCTGCACTGAACATCTTTGTGTATAAAGTTTCTCCCTGTTTCAGATTATTTTAGGAACGTAGACTCCCCAAAGTGGAATTTCTAAACCAACACTGAAAGTTTTAAAGATAATAATTATTAAGATTTACTATAATATCAGCACTATGTGCCAGACCCTGCACAGAGTACTTAATATGTCTTATTAAACTCACCTTGCAAATTTCAAGAAACTACATAGAATAACGGGTTTCATTGTAGCATATTGGTACCTGCAAATGACATCCTTTGATGATATCCACCCCCATCACCTACCCTACCCTGATACAGAAACTCAGTCCGCGTCTCCATTGCTGATCCAATAGTGAGGACAAGGTTTGGGAAAAAGGAAAAAGTTTAGTGATTTGCCAACAAAGGAGAAACATCGGGCACTCCTGTCCCAGAGGCTGTGATTCTAATTGTCAGGACACCTGGGGCTTTTAAAAGAGGAAAACAAGGGCCCGGCTCCACACGTTATCAGCAGATATAATTAATCAGTGTCCATCAGGTGTCCACGGGGGCGCCCTTGCTCCAGGGCCCGGGATGGGGGCTTCTTTACTCTTGTGGGCAGGGACACTCTTCCATGCAGTGGGGGACATGATAGATGAACCTGGATGGACAAGTGTTAGTCTACTTTCACCCTGTGTTAGGGAAGGAAAGTAAAAACTGTCATGAGTTTTAAAATAAGCCTCGTGGAGCAGCAAGGTGTGTATCGGAGCCTGAAGGGACCCTGTTGTACTGTCACCCTTCCTCTTCCGTGATAGTCTTCCCAGAGATCTTATGTTTTACTTCCGTCCTGGACCCCACAGTTAGGAAAAATGTGGCACTTGCCACTCTGAGTTGTCTTATGATCTCCCGTTACATCCATTTTCCTGCAAATGATCCGGTTTCTTCTCTGTGGCTGAGAACGCATCACTGAGTATAGAGACACCACATTTTCTTTATCCGTTTATCCATTGATGGGCATCCATGTTCCTTCTGCAACTTGGCTGCTGTGAATTGTGTGGTAACGGCTGTGGGAATGCAGTTATCTAGCGTCTGGGACTTTAATTCCTTCGGGTATGTGCCGAGGAGTAGCTGGGTCATAGGATGGTTTTATTTTTAGTTTTCTGAGGAAAACTAAAAATACTGATTTCTGCGGTAGCTGAACTAACTACACCTTGCTCCGGCAGTGTATAAGGGTCCCTTTCCCCCATGTCCTTGCCAGCATGTGCATCGTTTATTGTATCTTGATGACAGCTCTTCTGACAGTTGAGATGGCATCTCAATGTAATTTTGATATGCATTTACCTAATGGCTAAAGATGTGGAGCTTTTTTTCATATAATTATTGGCCGTTTGTAGTTCTTTTTTTTTTTTTTTTGAGAAGTGTTTGCTCAGTTCATTTGCCTACTGATATTCATTGGGTTGTTTGTTTTGCTTAGTTTTGTTTTGTTGGTGTGAGGCTTTCTGAGTTCTCTGTGTATTTTGGATGTGAGTGCCCTGTCAGAAGAAGAACTGGCAAAGATTTTTCCCATTCTGCAGGCTCTGTCTTCACTGTGTTGTGCTGTGCCGAAGTTTTTAAATCTGATGCCGCCCCATTCATTGGTGCTTGCTGTTATTTCCTGAGCTACTGGAGCCCTGTTCTGGAAGTCATTGCCTGTGCCTACCTCTTGAAGTGCTTCTCCTGTGTTTTCTTCTAGCAGTTTCCTAGTTTGGGGTCTTATGTTTAGGTCTTCAGTCCATATTTAGTTGACTTTTGTGCAGTGAGAGATAGGATTTAATTTTAGTCACCTCCACATGGATGACCAGTGTCTAGCACTATTTGTTGAAGAGGCTATCTCCTTCCAATGTATGTTTTTAGCACCTTCGTCAGGATCCAGATGGATGTGGCTGCCTGGGTTTGTCCTGTGTCTTCTGTTTCATTCCACTGGTCAATGTGTCTGTTTCTGGGGCAGTGCCATGCTGCTTTTGTTACGACGATTCTGTAGCATATTTGAAATCAGGCATTGTGATATCTCTAGCATTGCTCTTTTGGTTCAAGGTTGTTTTGAATCTTTAGGATCTAACAAAATACATTTGAAGAGGAAGAGAGTTCTTCATAATCATATCTTTCCCACCATTTCATTAGCCTTGCAATTCAAGGTTTGTGCTGGGTGAATCTTTACCCTGATGTGTGAAAGAAAGAAAGAAAATTTGAAGTCACACCTGCCTAGAGACAGTTTTAGTTGTACCAAAGCATAATTCATGAACCAAAGCACACTTCCATAAACTTAAAATAATTATTTGAAAATAATTTGATTTATAGATTGCTGTCTAATGATAAAATAGCATATTGTGTTGCTGCTGTGTAAGCCACAGCAATTTCCCCAGGGTGTGAAAAGGAGCAAGGAGCCTGACACTTCTCCTCCTTGGACAGCTGCCGTGAGGGCCTGTGCTCCTGGGCCAACATTGTGCCATTGCTCAAAGCCTTTAGGGGGGATGTCTCTCTGGATAATCTTCAGATTGGATCATTTTCTTTTTAGTATTCTCAACTCTAACATAGAGCCCTCTTTGAAGGTAGATTCACATATTCTCTTCCCCCCCCCATATGAAATAGTTTAGATTTTCAACATACTATGATGTCAAGATGTCATGCAACATGGACAAACATAACCAAGAAACCAGGAATAGCTGAGAGCACAACATCCATAGGTGGTCACTATTAACATTCTGATGGACTCTCTCTAAGGCTACTTAATCTATCTGCCTAACCACCTTCCACCACTCATCTAACACGCTTATGCATTCCAAATACCTACCCATCTATCAAGCCATTCCACCCTATATTTAGGAACCCACTCTCTGCACTATTTAAAATACAGACTGGGCTACTACAACAAATGGCCCCCAAATAGGGTGGCATAAAGGAGCAATAGAGAATTGCCTTCATGCATGACCATGTGAGTGGGCATGCCAGAGCTGCACTGTGGCCCAGGTCCTTCTAGCTTATTGTTCTGCCTCCCAAATGATACTGTCCTTGTCAAAGTGCAAGGTGGCTGTGGCTACCCCACCCTCCAGTTAAAAGGATGGGGAGAGATGTGTTGGAAGGCAGTACTATTTGTGCATAGCATAGACACATTTTAAATTCTCTCTCTCACTTTATATTGCCCAGAATTTAGTGCCATGACCACACACACCTACAAAGCAAATTTGAAAGTGTAGTCATTACACTAACCCAGCATTTCTCCAGCTGAAATTAGATGTTCTCTTACTAAAAGAATTTGGGAGAGGATTTCTTTAAAACAACTCCATTTTCAAGATGTATGTGTTCCTCACCTTGTATGAATTCATGGTATTCATGGAAAGAAGTTACATAATTTACTCAATTTATCTCCTCTTGATATAAACTGCTGATTCCTGATATTTTTACAATTTTAAGCAATACCATAACGCACCTGGGTAGACTCGCTGGACTATTTGCCCAATTATCCCTGTAGGAGATAGCCCTTGAAACAGAGTTGTTGGCTGACAGAGAAACAATTTTATGGTGATCTAAATTGCTGAAATTTCTTCTAGAAATTGTGCATAAGTTTACACTCTTATCTACAATATTTCCATGCATAACTTTTCCAAATCCATGCCACCTTGAGTATTAAGAAACAGTCTTAAATGATTACCAATTGGATAGATAAAAAAAGATTTTTACCTACCTTCTATTTATACATGAATGAAGTCAGAAATAATTTCTCTGTGAGCATTTTTAGTAAAACTAGATAATAAAATTTTCATTAAAACAAAGAAGATTTTGGAAGTACTAATAACAGTTTCTCCTCCAAGCTGCTAATAGAGTGTGGAAGGGATTCTAGAGGGGCAGTTGGCTGAGGAGTTGAGTAAGAGGCTGCATGAATGGAGGTGGGAATACGGAGAAGAGGGGAAGCTCTGGCCCAAGGCAGACCTCAGCTAAAGTCCAGGCTTTGCCACATACTGTCAGACCTTGGGAAATCTCATCTTCCCTCTGAGCCTTGGGAAGAAACTGGCCCCATCATTGGTGTCTAGCTCCAGAGCCGTGCACACAGCTTCTGTGCATTATTCCTAGTGCCTCCCAACCTTGCACGTCACTGTCCTCTTTCTGAGTCTGTTACACTCTAACTTCAGCTTTTTCTGTATGTTTTACAAAACACTTCAGTACCTAGCAGGTGCTTGACACACTGCAAAGACTCAATGAATATTTATTAAATAAATGAATTGATAAACAAAGAAGAATTTTGAGAAATAGATGGAGTAAGTAATGAGTTACTTAGCCTTCTTCAGTTTCTGTATATGATATAGAAAGGAGCATTCCCAGGTTTACCAACTTGCTGCATGGACAGGTGTCTACATCTGCATAGGTTCATTATCACCCTTTGCTCCAGGAAACTAATCATGTGGATGTAGTAGAATACGACTTGGCTCTGGCTCTGGCTCCCACATAGGGATGCCCACTTCCTCTTGGTGCACAAACCAACCATGGATTGTCATGTGACATTTCCTTGAATATATGAGTTTTGTGTTTTCTAGTCAGCTTGCTCCTGTCCAAACTCATAATCCCATTACTTAGTGAAAAACACTTTTGTGCAAGGTCTGGTAGGAAATCATGCTTCACCCAAGAAACTTCCTCTAGAAAATCACTGTCTGAAGCTCCTATAGCAGGACTTTCTCATTTAAAGTGCCAGTGTGTTGGGTCCCGGAAAGCTACGAATGAATGGAGGTAGCAGCTGTTTAACAAGGATCATGGAGAGAAGTTTTGTTGACCAATGGTGCCAACATGCCAACCAATGCTCCTGTTCAAATCTTGCCCAGAAAAAAAGTTCTCAATGATTCTATTACCTGGATTATTGTGAAAATCTCCCAGTCTACCCCCATCTTCCCTCTCAGCCAAGTGGACAGAAGGAGAGGTTCTTTATAAAGGATACTTTATAAAGTGCTTCATCTCTATTGACAACCTGTGGTTTGTAACCCCACCACTAAGTTTGATATTAAATATTCAAATTCTAAAATTATGAAAATCTGCACTACGTATCTATGGGTCTGCTTTACATCAGAAGGATTGGATACTCTGAAACAATTAGATGAAATAATGAGGGAAAACCCAGAAAACCATTATTCTATGATGTCGCTTTTCATATCTCTTTGCTGCTAGCAGAGAAACCGGTGGGGAGAGGGCAATGGAAGGAGAAAGGGGATTATAACAAAATTTTAACAAAGTTTTCTGCTTGTAAATAATTGACCCTTTATGGATTTCTTCATGATTAGTAATTTTTCTCTCTACGATTATTAATATTACTTACTACATGGAATAAATCAAACTTGAAAATTTTTTCTGAAAAATCCAAATACAGTCTATTTTCCCCTAAATCTTTGAATGATTAAATTTAAGCCTCCTAAACCCATTTTGCAGATTTCACAGCCCTCCTGGTGGACATCATTGGAAATTCTACCAGCTACCTCACGGAGATCTTTAAGTCAACCTCCATCCTCTCAGGTGGGTTTATTTGATGGTTCCTGGCAAGCACGAGGTTGGCACCCATCCTGGGGCATAACCAGGCTTCACAGGTCTCCCGTGCTCCCCTGCCACGGGTCGGGCTGCTGTGAACCTTCATGTGAGCCTCATTGAGATCATCCTCACGTTCCAATTTCTGATACCAGCACTGGGCAGCTGCTTCTTCAATCAGAACTGTTCTTGGGGCCCAGAAATTGGAAAACAAATTCAAGGCTCAAAGTTAGGAGAATCTCGGCAGATTCCAGAAAACAGCTTCTGGCAGACAGCTGTCCTCCACTTTCAAAGATGAGAAAAAGCTGAGACCCAAGGAGGTTGAATATCTTGCTTCATGTTGATGCCAGAATTCAGATTTAGATCCACGTGGAGCCTAAGTCCACGTTTTAAAAGCGATTAAGAAAGACATGCCTCATTTATGAGGTGGCTTCATGAATCCCCCAAGCAAATCACACTCCACCGGAATCCACTTTGAAAGGCACAGATCTGGATGTCAGCCCAGCAGCTGGTCTCAGCAGCCTGGTGATAGGTGATCTACGGGGCAGCTGCAGCTGGGCAGGCAGGAGGGAGGGAGAAGGGGAAATCTCAGTAGATGTCATTAGGTGCCAGCGGCTCTCCCAGCGCCTTCTAGATCCTCCTGTCACTGGATCCTCACTACAACCTCATGGGGTAGCTACTGCGTGTAACCCCACTTTAGCAAGGAAACTGTGCTGTGGCGTACAGAGGCTGAGCACTTTGCCCAGGATCACTCTACGGAGACAGAATTCTACCCAGGCAATCTGGCTCTTGGTCTGTGTTTTGGTCACTATGCCGTTGCACATGATGCTAGAAACACATCAACACAGCTGTCGTTGTCACCCTGGCTAAGGACAAGCCTCCTCTCTCTGCCAGGCACCATAGTCAGGACTTCACACATCACCTCTTTGGGTCTTCACAACCATCCTCTAAGCAGCATGCAACCCAATGTCCTCTGTCCCTTAATCAGCGTCCCCAGGAACAAGTATACTTAGGAATTCAGAAGTTTTCAGATTTTGAAGGTCTCATGGAGAGACTACACCATACTGATACATAATACCTCTATCCAGGAAAGCCTGTGGTGATCCAACATCAATGTTCATTCAGCAAAATGTTTGACCCTTGCACCAAGTGGAATAGGTAAAGACTATACAATCTCACATCCGTCAAGTCAGGTTTTACCATCAAGGTCATACAAAACTTTCTACCTTACGAGATCTAGGGATTGAGGAATTACAAAAAAAAAAAAAAAAGATTATGGAATTTGAATTTTTTCCCTTGTAAAGGTGAGTGAACTGAGTCCTGGAGAAGTCAAGAAGTTCAGTCATTTGTAGAGTGCATAGCTAGTAAGTGGCTGAGTTGATACTGTAGCCCTGGAAGCTGACCCCTGCCACCCAACTTTGCTCTTAGCCACTACATTGTACTGCACCATCTCCTGCCTCCTCAGCCCCACCAAGCAAACAAACAAAAGTAAATCAGAAAATCAGAGCTGCCTTATAAGGAGTTAGTTTTACTCCCCTATCTCGTCCTGAGCTAGGTACTTCCAGCTCAAATTTTATTTCAACTAGACGTACAGCTGCAGACCCCTTGCTGACCTGTGCTGTGCTGGTTCATTTTACAGTGAGTCAGACCAATGAATCCGACTGCCTCTTCATCTGCGTGATGGCAGGAGAGTCAGGTGAGCCGCAGTGCCCTTGCCAGCTCTCTGGACTGGGCAATAAGCACAGGTCTCCAGGGGACAGCCCAGGATTTCCTCCTATGGGTGTGACCTTTGCAGGGCGGAATCTCTCTGACTTCTGGGAGATGGTGGAGAAATCCCCTGTGATCAACTACACGTTTACCAGCAGCCTGTCTGGAGTTCTGGGTGAGTACACCCCCAAATGCCTACCATGGAGACCACCGCCGAACCGGAGAACAAATGCGGTCCTGGGGCATTTTATTTAGCTCCTGTTTTAAAAATCAGATGATCTCACCACTGAAAACAATTTTCTGGAATATGTTGCAAAAGACGTTCTGGCAGCTGTGGATTCTTCCCATGGCAAAAAACCAACCAGAGCTGAGTGGCAGCTGTACCCATGCCCCTTTAGGAGGGGACTCTTCTCCCATTTCCCAGAGTTCCCTCTGCCCTCTATTGCCTTGCACAAGTTTTCTTACATCAACTATTTGGCTTTTAAGATGTTTTAGTTTGGGGCCCAGATCTAGAGACATTGTCACTCTCTAATGCACATCCTCCAGCCACCCATCCTCTGCACCCCCACGTGCCCACCTTCCTGTCCATTCCCTGTCACCAGGTGGCACTTTTGGAACCGCCTTTAAGTCTCCTCTCTCTCCCCTCCATGTAACTGGTATTTCTAGCTGAATGAAGTGCCTGAAGCCTCCCCAGGCCTCTGAGATTCCCTGCTGTTGCGTGAGAATCTGGGCTCAAGTCCTCGTCGTCTACCTTCGAACTGGAATAGCCTCTGAACAAGTGCTCCTTGTCAGATCCCCTGTGTCTCTAAATATCCATTCCTGCCAGGGGCAATGGTCTTTCAACACATCGTGGGTGAGGTCCCCTCGATGTCAGAACTCCAGTCAGCCCCAGAGGGTCCAAGTCCTTGGCCTGGAGAAGCGTCCTCTGCCCCCATGCCCACCCTCGTCTCCTCCTCCCTTTCTCATAAGTCCCCTGCTACCACACATTGGAACCACTGCCCTGCTTGTAGGCGGCGAGCAGCTCATGCCTTCTGTGCCTTTGGCTCATGCTGCGATGTGTCGCAGCTCCTCCCTATTTCACCATGCTGTAGAACCCTGTGTGCCTGTCAACTGCCAGCACTTGCCTCCTCTTGCCCAAGGATCCCCAGTCAAAATCAGTCTTCTGCATCCCGTGGCCTTAGAACACCATTCTGCACATCATCTGGACTGATACTCCAGGTGGCATCACAGTGCCATTGACAGGTGTGCCTCCTCCATGGTGACACTCCAGGGCAGAGAGAGTCTCCTTTGTCTGCCTTCCCCTTCTGTTCCTCACAGAGATGCTTGCACACAGCATGCCCTTCATCAGTGTCTCGTGGAGTCAAATGAAGGACCCAGCAATTCAGTTCCCCAATTCTATTTCAGTGGGTTACGGTGACTTGTGTTTATCTTGGGGCATCTCTTGATTATCCTGTGGAGGGGCTTCATTTGTTAATGGGACAAGACTCTTGGTAAGAAGTTAAAATGGGCATTTAGTGGGTTGCCTTTACCCACCCAATTCTGAGGACAGATCAGAGGACTGAGTGAATCTCATTTATTCAGTCTTTCCATGACCTTCCCACCCCCACTCTCAATGGGGTCTCCCCTTTGGTGTTGCTTTAAGGACAGGTGCCCAGGAAGAAGGAACATACTTACACCTGGACACTAAGGTTGATGTGCCTGGTGGCTGGTGGTCTGTCCAGGTGACAGTTTGGCTGGGGTGCACTTAGCCCATGTCCAACATGGAGCAAGGCTTAGGCTGGGGTTTCCTGTGGGGTGTCTGTGGGCCCAGAGCAAAGCAGAGAGAGGTCATGAGACTGCAGGCGTAACTCCTGCTGTTGGGTCAGTTGTTCCCTACACACAGCTACCTGCCAAAGGGACAAGTGGGGACCAAAATCCAACACCAGTCTTTGTCCACCCAGAGCAGGTGACTCTATAGGCCAGTGGGAGTCACTGGCCTATATGCCCGTCCCAGGCCCTATGCCCACTTGCACAAGCAAGCCTTCCTCGGGAGGTCAGGTGGAATGAAAGGCTCTTCCACCTTTTCCTCATGGGACAAACAGCAGCACTGAGTAAATTTCTCTCCAAAATCTGCCTTTTGGGGGGATCATTTTTCAATCAAATTCTATCTTTTGGGGGGCTCATTTTTCCAGCTATTTCTGCCAGAAAGCCCCTGATTTCCCCAAATTCCACCTCTGGTTCCTAATTATATGCACAGAGCATGTCAAGGAGACCAATCCTTCATCCAGGATAAGTCCTGGAATCACGGGGTAACTGAGCACACTGAATAGATTTGGCGTCTGATCAAGAGACGGGTTAAATGTCAAGACCTTTGTGGTCTGAGGCGTGTGTGCTGCAGTGATTCATCGTGCAGCTTTTTTGGAGACTGACCTTTCACATGGTACTGTTGGGAATGAGCTTGAGATCTTTATTCTCTCTACATATCTGTGGTGTGATGATCTTTCAGCGATTCAGCAATTCTTTGTGTCCAAAGGATCAAAGTTATCAAAGCTGCCATTGACCTTCTCCCCAAAGGTGCTGCAGCTACCAGGGAAGCAGCTGGGATTTCAGAGGCCACAACCCAAAGCCAGCAAGGCCTGCCAAGGACAGGCCCCCCACGCTGGGCCCACAGCACACACCCGGCTTCTGCCCTGAGCGCCTCCCCGCCCAGGGAGACAACTGCTCCTTCAGAGGGAGAGGCAACAGGGAGCACAGGCAGGCTCCCTGGGCCTCCTGCAGGGACCACGGCCACAGCCAGCAGGGCCTCTGGCAGTCCCCCAGGCTCAGGTAAGATGTGATCTCACCCTGTGCTCTGCTCTGCTGAGTCTCCCTCCTGGCCCCTCCAGGCTCACAGGAATGAGCCACACCTTTGTCCCTGTCTGCCCCCTGACACCAGGCTCCAGCTTCCTTGAAATAAGAGATGTCTGTGAGCCAGTGGAGGGCCCATGAGGACAAGCAGAGGCAGCCGTGTCAGTGGCCCAGTGGACCGCTAACATGGACGCTTCTAACAAGCAGTTGCGAAAAAGGTCCCCGAGTTTCCTGACACCCTTCACCCAGCCTCCCCAGGGCCATGTCTCCCACGCTCGTGGCTCACTGTGGCACAGCGTTATCACTTCAGCCCAGCACCTAGTGCTGTCTCTGGCAAGTCACAGGAAGTGAAACGCGTCAGCATCTTATGCCACGGTGGGTCAGTCTGCCACTGGCTGCCCAACACGTTAGTGACCGCACAGCAGCATGGAAAGCTGCTCCCAGGGGCTCTCCAGGACCCCGCCCTCCCCACCTGTGGAGCACACAGTCAGCAGTGTTGTCACCCGCCACTCAAAGTGCCTGCTTCCCCATCATGTCCTACTTGGAAATAACTCTGAGCTGAGTCTTCTCTCTCATTAAGAGTCACTGTTGTCTGTCCACCAATGGCCCCGAGCCCTCAGCATCCACTCACCCCCTCATCAAAACATGCATCTGCTTCCAGACATAGGTTAAGTGTTGACAGAGGCTCTACCTGTGTTCCTGCTCCTCCCTGAGCTCCCAGGCCCGGGAGGGAGACTCGGGCAGGGAAATGACAGTCACCAAGCCAGTGAGGCTGTGCCACCACCCCGCACAGCAGGAGACACAGGCTGCCCAGGGAGGAGGGGATGGACAGGTGGCAGGCAGATAAGGAAACAGGGAGGACTGGAGGTGGAGAGGAGAAGGAACCAATCCCACCAACTAGATAGTGTCTAGATTTACCGTAAATGGTTCACACAGTACCTGGCATCATCATGACAATGACTCCAAATTAGAAATGTTTCCAGTGTAATATGAAAAACTGTGGTTTCTAGAGGCAAGAAAAGTCATAACCCTTAAAGGAAAAAGTTCTGTCTTTATATAGGAAAAACTACAAACTTTAATGAAAGTAATAAAGAGATATTTAAATACATAGAGGGATGTCCCACATTTCAGGTGGAAATCTGAATATTTCAAAGATGCCAACTGTTCCCAATTTAACTCATAGATGTCAAATTCTTTAATAAGATTAGTTTTGTATAACTGGGAAGAAAAATCTAGAATTTTTACCATAGGAATGAGCAGGTGAGAACATCTAACAATTTTTTAAAAGGTCAGTTAGGGAAGATTTGTCTGAACAAATCTAACGATGATCCTGAGATGTTGAGGACAGGAATTATGACCATGATTGTTATTGTTATTATTCTTCTCATCCCATCATAAAGATAAGGCTAAAGAGTTAAGGAAGTTACCCCAATTCACAGCCTGGAGGAGGCAGGGGCTCAATCTTGCCTCTGGGTCCCTTAGCCTCAAGTCCTTCAGTCTCTCGCCAGGTCACAGGATGAGAAATAAGCTCCTTAAACTTGAGACGGAGCCACCGACCCCCAAACACACCCTTGCTGGCTGAGTGCCCGGGGACCTGGAGGAGTTCTCTTTATTTTCTGCCGGGGCAAACAAAGTTCCCTCTGGTCCATGGGCTTCAGCGCAGAGTGCAGGACGCCTAGAGTGTCCATGTTATGCCCACGCCTGTGTTTGCCCGCTGACAGCAACCCCACGCCTCTGCAATTTTATATAAATCAAAGAGGTCGAATGCATCCATCCCCGGTGACAGTCACTTTGAATGTGCAGCTACCAGGACAGTGGCTGGAACACAATGGGTGACAACCAACAGACAGACCTGGGCTCCCACACTGTCCACGCCCAGGGCTCAGACCCAGGATGAGACAACACCTGGGGGTCCCCCCTGGGAGACAGCCTCCTCCACACCCACATCTGCCCAAGCTGCAGGGAGCCTCCCGGGTCCTACTGGGGCCATGTCCACGCCCAGCAGCCCAGCTCAGCCCAGCGCCACCTCAGGTAAGAGAGAGACTCACTCCACCCCTCCCCTTTCCAGTGACTCTCAGCATTGCCTGTCTTGAAAACCTTTTTAAATCTTTGAACTGTAACACATACAGAAAAAGTCAAACCCAGGGGACCAATACTTGGTTTGACCATGAGGCCGATTCTTCTTTCTCCTTCTTCGCCTCACCCCACTCTTTCCTTCTCATCTTGAATGAATGAATGAATGAATGCTCACTCTTCATGGGGATCCCCCTCTCCTCTCTCGTTTATGTAAGTTCACTTTCTATTTTTATTCTTGTTTCACTACTAAACAAGTAACCGCTAGAAATTGACACGGTTCACTCAGGACAGGGATGAACTGACTTTTTGGCATGATATGATCATTATTACATTAATTACTTATATATCATGTATATGCAATGTAATGTAACATGCCTATTAATTGCATGTGTAAATGTATGCATTAATGTATAATCATGTAATGAGGAACACTTGAACTCTAAAATGCAGGAGAAACATTGTCAAGTGTGACAGTGTAATGTAGATGGGTAATAAGTAGACACAGAGAATAGAAAGCAAAGCCAAAACTAAAAAGAAATTCACAACTTATTAACCTTGAACCTAACTTTAGTGTTCCCAGGTTATAGCTGGGAAGTAGAGTCCCTCTGATTTTTGTTTCCTTCACTCCAGTTTCATGAATTTTCCATACTTTATACTCCTATAGTCAGACAAAAAATAATTCCCTTAAAAATAACTGCCTCTGCTGCTTGCAGCATGGCTGAGAGCCCCCCACCCCCAGGCTCCCACAGTCAGTGGATCATAACACACATGGAGGCTATGATCCTGGGGTCCATCCGCTTGACTTTCCTCCCTCTGGGCTCTGCCTCCTGGGGGGCTGTGAAGGCTCCTGTGAAGCACAACAGCCACTCAGTCAGTTTGTCAAACTACTGAATTTGTGAAGGAATGCAGGAAGAGGAGTAATGAATTTTCACAGTCATATAGATTCACTGTCTCAACTGCAAGCTCAAAATCACAATGGCACTCACAGGTCGAGAGATGCCCTTCAATGGCTTTAATCTTATGACCGCCTGACACCAGGGCACCATCTTAGTCTGTTCAAGCACTGTGCTGTTTCAGGGGAAATTGGAAGCTGACACACTCTGGTCTGGTCAGCTGGACGTGGTGCTGTGGAGCTCTGCACTAGGCTCTCAGCTTCAGATGGCCTGGGCTGGAGTGGACCTCACACTCACACTGTGTCCTGGCACCTTCCTTCACCATCTGAGTCCTTGTTCCCCACTGATGAAACGGGAGCTGTAAGAGCTCTTGTGTGGGTTCAATTAGGTGATGTCTGCAGGGTGTTCAGTTCAGTGAATGGCACCTGGGAAGCACTCAGTCGGTGCCACTACTCTGCCTGAGCCCTCCTGCAGCAGGGCACTGAGGGCAGCGATAGGAGACACAAGCCCTCCAGAGGGGAGCATGCGTTTGTGTTTGCTTCTGCCCCAGGTCCACTTTACTCCAATTCTCCACGATTCTGCAACCAGTCAGTCACACTGCAAGCAGCCATCGTATGTGGTATAGCTGAGGCTAATCTAGAACTACATAGAAGCACATCCAGGCAGCTAACGGACACCCTCTGTGTTAGGGGTTACAGTCTGAGGCCTACACAAAATCAGGAGCAGATTCTCACCCACCTTAGAAACTGGCAGGATGGCCCTGTAGAGTTGGGAAAGGATCCCGCAATCATCTGTGTGTGAGTGGGTCACAGCACTCATGTCTGGCATGAACACAGTCCTGTGGAATCCCACCCTGAAGTGTTCTGTCCTTGCCAAGGAGCATGACAGAGCACAGCAGCTGTGCCACTCTGTGGTAAGAGCTGGGCTCCGCGCCTGCCTGCTTCATAGCCTCATCTCCCCTCCACCTCCTCCCTCTGGATCAGCCACAGAGAACTGCTTGCCACCCACTCCTTGAGGTCTTTGCACAAGCTCCCTGCTCTCCCGGGGAAGCCTGTGCTTCTCACTAGCCTTGTACCCGTGGTCTTGATCCACGTCACCTGCCCCAGCTGAATTGGGGGCCCACTGACTGTGCTGGAACCTCCCCCTTCTTCCCCTTCATGCCTGAGTGAAATTTCCTGTTGCATCTTCTCCTTCTTCCCTTAGAAGGAGGCTGCTGTGCTTCTTGTGCCAGAGGCCAGCTCCAGGCAGCAAGAACCAGGTCCTGTAGCAGTCCTTAAACCAAGGACATGATGAAAAGAACTGTTGAACTGAGCCCATGCGCCATCATGACAATGATTGACAGGCAGTTTATTGGGGTGCGGATGGAGTACGCCAAGGCGCAGGAGAATGAGAGGCGTACCATTTCCTGTTTGCCCAGAGCTCCCACGCTTGCACACTTCCTGTTCAACACCATCATTCTCCAAGTAGTGTCACCTGATCTTACCACTATTAACTTTTTCCCAAGGGCCCCCACCACATGGTACCACAGTTACTGACAGCACTTGCCTGTTCCCTTGTAAGTACCTGGAGCACCGCCATGGAGGGCTCCATTTCTTGACTCACTTCTGCAGCCTCAACATCCTGCTTGGTACCTGGCTTAATAACCAGTGTTGGTTGGATAGGGCAGGACTGGTGGCCTGGGGCGTCTTCTCCAAATCAGATCCCCTTGAAAAGATGCAGGCTCACCCTCTCTCCTCTCATCCCAGGAACAGTCACCCCTGGCACACAGACGCCAAGGCCAACCAAGGCACCAGCCCCCAAGGACCCACAGACAGGTGAGAACACACAGGTGGGAAAAGAAACCCCGTACCACGGCGGGGAAGGACTGCATGGGGCAGAACCCCAGGGACAGAGTGCCAGTACTCAAAGGATGCTGGTTATGGTACTTCACTGGTTCTCACAGGAAAGAGGCAGGAGAACTGGTTTGTAAGTCTTGTGTGCTGCTAAGTTGCCAGGTGATCCTGAATAAATCACCTCCCCTTGGCTATGATTTTCTGTGGGTTTCTTCTTTATCCTGAAGGCACTTTGATTCTCTGGTTGTGGTATAACCCAAGGCAGCTTCGTTTTCATTTTTGGAAGACTACTCTTGCCCCATGCAGGTGATGTCCCTGCAGAGTGGCCATTTGCTCCTGGAGAAGAACCAGCCCTAATCCCAGTACCCCATCAAGTCTCAAGTGAGTAGCAGCACCCCCTGCTTGCTAGGCTTGTGTTTCTTTCAGACAGGGTTGGGAAGTATGATAAAAGGAGGTTTGTTGGATAACTTTAGACCTAGAGTGCTGGCATTCAAACCCAAGCTCAACTTCCAGGATTCAGTTTCCTCCACTATTTAGCATAAAAAAAGTTCCAATGATTGTGTCTGGTTTTCCTTTCCTACAAGATTTTGCATTGAGATAATGTGTGTGACAGTGCGTTGGAACCCTAGAGAGCTGAGTGACTTAGGTTAGTTAACAGTCTTTGAGGGAACATCTGTGGAGCAGTGAGCTGGGTACCTTGCAAAGGGAAGGGAAGGTGCTCTTATGATAAGTGTGGTGTTGACAGAGAGGGGAGTGCCATTCACTGGGCGGCCATTTACTTCTCTGTTCTGAAGGACACCCTGCCCATCCCCCCACCCCCACCCCCAGCACACTTGGTTCTCATGGGGTGAGGAAAGAACCGTTCGCTGGACCTGAAGTAGTTTCCAGAATTCCAAAGACTGATTTTCAGTGGTTTTGCTGATTCTTCCAGCTTTTGCTAGACGTCTCCCTCTCCTCTGTTGTGCCGGTTTCTGGGAGAAACTGGTATAGAATGAGCCCTTGAAAGCTGGATGGATCAGGCGCCTCTCACTCCCAGATACCTTTCTACCCTAGTTCTGCAAGCATTCTGGCACCCTTCACTTGTATGTCAACAGAAGGCCATTAAATCCTGGGGACCTGAATGGTCTCTGTTTCCTATCTCCCCAGCTCTGCCTCAGCCCCTCCTACCTGCAATGAACGTGAATGGGCCTTTCAGACAAAAGTGTGATTGCCACCACAGGAAGTGACCTCCCCTTCCCCCGGGAGTTCTAAAGAAGCTCCTCACTATTTTCTTATCCTGTTATTATTTGACTCTTTATAAAAGCCACATGTTAAGTAACAGTGAAAATCTGGATCACTAAACATAATTAATCTTCAGCCTCTGGAGGAAGAGAACTCACGACCCAGAGCCCTGTTCTCGGGGATCCAGGTTGCCTCATTCACCTTTCAGCCTGGCTTTTCATCCTCCTTGCACACAGGCAGGCACAGGTACACACACCCTAAGCCCCTGTCCTCAAATGACTCTCCATCTCCCCTGAGCAAGTCACCCCCTTACCATGCTCAACCATCATGGACCCCATCCCCTGCCCAGGAATGCCCTCCCTCGGATGCATGCCTATTAAACATTTGCTCTTCAGCTGAACCCTCTCTAATCTCCTCCAGGAGGTCGGTCACCACCTTCTCTCTACCTACACCTTGATATTTTCACAGTAGCTTTACTGGGCAGTGAAGCCATACCGTGGTTACTGCCTGTCTCTGAGCCAGGATCAGGGCAGGATTGTGTTCTCCTGACACAGTTCCCCCCCGGGGGAAGGTGCTGGCTAAACTCTTGTTGACTTGACTGGTCTGAGATTCATCTTCTAGGGTGTCCGCAGCCACTCCTCAAACAGGGGGCCATGACGGCTGCCCCTCTCACCCTGGCCACCCAGAAGCTCAACCCTTGCCTGATGGAATTGTGCCGCTTCTTCCAGCAATGCCTCTGTGTGAGCCAGAGGAACCCCAGGACAGAGACCATGAGGTAACCAGCGGCTTCTTTACATATTTAATATTTATAAGCTGCTTACTCTGTGTGGCTTCTCGGCAGGCCACAAGGTCGCCAGGCATTAAATAACCCAAAGACAGGTGATGAGGGGACCTCAAGGAATGGGATCTTTTAGGTGTCCTCTACTAGACTGTCACTTCCTTGGGAGCCATGATGGGACCTCATTAATTTCTGGGTCCCCAGAACCAGGTCCAGGGCTGGACCGATTCAGGGCTGTATTTATTGGACAGAGTAAGTGCACGTGAGCTGTGCGGGACTGAGCTGCGTCGAGATGAGCTGGGCTGGGCTGAGGTGAGCTGAGGGAGGTGCCGTGTACCCAGCAGCATTACCGCTGAGGACTTTGAGTGGTCCTTGAACCCAATGTTCTCAGCCTGAGGAAACTCTCTAGGAGAGAGTAACCAAAGCACAGGTCTCTCTATCCACTCCCACAAATCCCTAGCAGTCACCTGCCAGTGGGATTAGAAGCTTGTAAAAACCCTGCCCTTTAATTCTGACCTACTGTCCTGTCATTTGGGACTTATTTTTGACTAGACATTCAGAGCCAGTTACAGAGATGGATACTCCTGCTCCAGGGGCCTGGGGACCAGCTTCTTGGATCTTTAATGTTATGTTCCAGGTCTGCTCAAAAAATCCTCCAGGTTTTCAGATCTCCATCATCTGCTAGGACCAAGTCCCAAGTCCATGTTTTTAGTCTTTTCCTGTCACCCCTTTCTGGCCTTGAACTTGGATCCCTCATTGGTTGGCTGCTTCCTCCATACAGAAAAAGTAATGAGGAAGACCCAGAGACTCAAGGGTGTGAGCATGCAAGGCTGGGCACTTCTCAGCCAAGGCCAACCCTTAGGAAGAGGGAAGCTACAAAGCAGAGCATTCTGCTCCCTACTGGGTCCTTCTCAGTTGCTCTTTTTAAATCAATAATGCATTTTGCATCTCTACAACATATCCACTGTGCAATGGGCTAAGCCCAGGCTATAGCAGTGGGTCAGAAATAGGCCCAGAACCTGAAGATCGCATGGTTAGGAGGAAGAAATGGTCATAAACACAAATTACAAGATAGTTGGTATAGAACCAAGTCATGTGCCCGAGCAAAACCCCGCAGTCATATCTCCTTGGAAAACATCACACTTGGAAACACCCAGAGATTGGCTGAAAGAACAGGTGGGGAAGTCAGAAGTTTTGAGTTTAAACTCACAGCCATGAAGCCACTGTTAACCTGAGCTCTTCCCTCTTTTCCCTGAAGTGTGAGTTGTTCCGTAGACCCGCATGGAGTGTGGAAGGTGGGACAAGAACACCATGTGGCAGATAGAGGGGTGTCAATCACCAGAGCGAGGGGTGTCAGTCAGTATGTTGGCACAATAAGAGCCTCTGAGATTAAGAAACAGCACGACCTGGTTAGGAAGTTGGCAGAAGAGACAAGTTCCACACCAGAGTGACAAGTGTGTGGCAGACCCTGCATCACATGCTGGGGAGCCCCGAGGAGATAAGTGACAGGATTCAATGGAGGAGTAGGAGTTTTCCAGGCCAAAAAAGGGAGAGGCCACTAGAAGGAAAATGCGTGGGCTGTGCGAAGATGGCGTGGAAGGCAGCGGGGCCCTCTGGGGGCACTGGGGTGGTCAACAGCGCTGCAGCAGCAATGGCAGCCACTGTGTCCCACATGCCTCCACTCAGGTGGCCTTGCCTTGCAGGTACCTGGATGGCCTTTCACTAACAAGTTCCCTTTGCCTGTCACAGAGCTCCAGATGCCCCTCCACACCTCCCATTGTCCACCATCCAGAAACATACAGAACCTCCAAACATACAGAACATCCAATGCACATCGGGCCAAGGCTCAAGTCCAGCCCTTCATTCTGTCCATCCTTGAACTCTGGTTCCCTAAATGTCCCTCCTCCCACATCGTCTCCCTTTCCTAGTCCTCTTTTGAAATGTTTCCTATTTAGAGTCCCTAGCACCTTCCTGGGGACACACTGTCCCCCTTCGAGGGTGACAAAGCCCCGGTTCCTTTCCCTCCTGATGCCTATGAACTGGTGCCTTGGGTGCCAGGCGGGATTCTGGGGCTCCTGCCCTTTCCAGGCTGCTGCCCCCTCCACGTGGAGCCAGGGTCTGGTCTGACGTGAGGAAGTGTGCACAGCAGGGGCTTCCACACGGTCCCAGCTCGTTCTGCTCCTGGCAAAGCCACCGGAGACAGACACCAGAGGACTCCTCCCCAGCGGGTTTTCTTGGAAGAGCATCCAGCCTTTTCTACGTGAGAAACGCTGCTCTAGCCTCCGTGAGGAGCACCTGTCGTGTCATGAAGGCAACGCTGACCTCCTTCTTTATGCAGCAACAGCCACGCCGTTTCTCCACTGTCGCCTTGCCTTGTTTGCTAACTGGGGGATGCTTTCCCTGAGGACTCAGGCAGGCTCTGTGTCATGTCTAAGTAATGCCATCTCTTGCCAGCCACCTCCTCTGCCAAAGTGAACTCAGGCCTGGATGGTGGCTTGGGGGCTTCTCAGAGAGGGCCATGTCTCTGCAGTTGTGACCACTGAAGTCCCCACCTCGTGGTGTGACGCTTCAGGGAGCCCCTCCGTCGGCCTCTCGCTGTCCACATAGTAGCATCGATTCTAAAGCGGTGGCTCCCCAGGGTCATTGGGTGTCCTCGGTGTGGAGGGAGTTTTCTAGAGGGTTTTGCTGCTGTGCACATTGTCACACAAGCCAAGGGGGAGTGAGATGAGGCCACAGAAATGCCCCAATGCTAGAAGCTTCCACACCGTTTCGGGTGCTGTGTGGAAGGTCAGGTTGAAGCCAGGAGGCCTGGCTTTAAATTTACTTTCTACCACTTCTAAGTTATGTGCCCTTGGAATTGTCACTGAATTCCTCTGAACCTTGGCTTATCTTGTTTGGGCCACGCTGCCTGTGTTCCACCCACGTCACACAAGTCCAAGAGCACCTTTCACGGAGAAGGGCGGCAGCACTCTTGCCACACCGACCGAGTACCGTGAGAATGGAATGAAAGGAAACGGTGGCTCAAGCTGTCCCTGCCCAGCCCCTGGACGTAGCTGGCGTGGATGTGGCCGTGGCTGTTGGCTCACTGCTCTTCCTGCTCTGCAGCCACTCTGATCCCGCCTCTGGCGCCTCGGACATGTTGCAGCCGTGGTAACCAAATGCCTGTGGAGTTGATAAGACTTGACATCCTGCCTCTTCTGCTTTTGGAATGTCACCTTGAGTATGTGGAGCCCATGCTCAGAGAAGAGGGAGCCCTGTGGTGTTCCACATGTGCCTCTGTGCTCTGTCTGCCCTGCCTCTTCTCTGCCCTGCTTTGTACTGAAGGTCCTGACGTGTGCAGACTGCATTTCCCAAAATGCCTTGCCAACCAGCTTCCCGTTGGCTAAGGCAATGCATGAGACTGGCAGGAGATGGAGGGCAGGAGCGAGGAGAAGCCATGGAATTTCTCCCTGGGCCCTTTCTGCTTCGGGGAGTGTTTCTAGAATGGCTTGGTCTCCTCTGTGGTTCCAGTTTTGGAAAAGCACCCTCCCTACAGCCCAGCTCCGTGGTCCCAGCTGCCCCAGAGCCCTTCCTTCCTGCTCTAGCTGCATGCTTCCTCCTGTCCCTTCACACCTGGAAGGTGGGGCAGCCTCACCTTCTCCTGTTGGCTCTTTCTCCTCCTTTTATGCCCAGTCCCCAGTGTTAAAGGCCTCTAGAGAGCCACCTGGATTCTGCCCCCTGGGCTCACCTATTGGCTGTCCTCTGAGAATGCAGTGGGTTCTGTCCTGGATTGGACTGTGAGGCTAGAGTCAACACTAGCGCTTGAACGCAGTGACCCTGGGCAACCCAGTAACTCTCTGTGCCTCCATTTGCTCAATTCTACCATTTCCTGTAAACGGAGGATGGTATCACCTGGGGAATCCTCACAGTGAACTTTGCTTGGGGAGTTAGTTGCTGAGCGCCCAAGAGTATGGTAGAGTTGCAGAATGAGAGCGGCGGAGGAGAAATCAGAGCACAGTTAGGCCGAGCTCATCAGATGTCAGATGTGGGTTGAAGGAGATGTAGACCCCATGGTCCTAGGGTGAGCTACGGACACAGGCTGCACGGAGGTCTGCTCCCTAATGTCAGCCAATGGCCTCTTCACCACAGCCCCTGCTGACACAACGGCATTGTTAGCAATAGCACCTCTCTGCCCTCTCCACCTGCCACAGAAACAAACAAGAAAACATTGTCATTTATTGAGCACCTACTAGGTAGTGCTTGGGAGCCTTACATATGCTGTCTCATCTAATCCTCAAAAAAATCTGTGAGTGTAGTTCTCATTATTGCCTTACATCTATATATCGGAAAGTCAGGACGTAAAGTAAGTCTGGCTGGCCCTTAAGTCTGAGCTTTTTCTACCCTGCCCTGTTCCCTTCCTTTCCTTCCATATCCTCTAAAGATGGATGGAGGGTTCCTTGCTGTGAATAGTTGGCCACACATTCATGGTGACGTAATTGCCAGGCAGGATCGTGATTGCTCCCAACTCTGACTTAAATCTTTAGGTACTGTCTGGAGTATTACTCCTGGTTTCTGAAGAATGCAACATTTATCTGCCAGAGGGTGAAAAGGGTGTCGTCCTCACACAGTAAGTACCCAGCTTCAGGAGGCTGTACGTTTGCAGTCACTGCACCCTATGGAAGGCTTCTGTGAACCTGAGAGGTCTTCTTGTCACCTGGAGCCAAAGGTGTGCTGTAGCTTACACGCCATCCATTAGGTCTAGAAAACAGAGTCTAAGCTATTTCGGATTTTCCAACAAAGAGCTTAATGTTTGTCATTAAGTATAGAAAACAAAAGCCGAGTCAGCCTGACATGCACTGTTACCCTGTGTGTGAACACAGGCAAGTTTCTTAGCCTCTGAGTAAGTAAGCTCAAAAGTCAAACAAAAACTGGAAGGAAAAATAAACACTGAAATTCCCAACCAATGAAGATGGGAAAAGAAGTCTGCATGACGTCCTGAAAGTGGAACTCCTCTCCCGTCCTGAGGGCTTCAAAGCCTCATTACCCACAGAACTCACTTGGGTTTTTTCTCCACTTCTACAGACAAAAGTGGCTGGTCTGGTAGGTCCGATTCCCAAACCACTGATTTGGTGTCAGATCACGCCATCTAATAGGCTATCTATCTGGTCAAGGGCCTCTGGCTTCCTGAAAATCGTGGAGCTGTGTTAGACTCTTTGGGAAATCCCTTCTTAATGTAACCCAGGTATAAGCTGGGTGCTCGCATGGCCCAGTCTTAACAGGAGTTACCTTTAACAAAGAGTTCAGCCTCTCAGGCTTTCCCTGTGTCCCTTAAATAACATCATCAAACGGCGTCCCCTGCCAACACTTCTTAGAAACTGTCCTCATTCCTTTGGCCTCGCAGGGTCTCTTGGTCTCACAAGCTCTCTGCCACCACCTTCATGTGCCCTAGCAGAAGCCAAACCCTGGAAGGGAGGGGTTCCGAAAGAGACATATCTTGGAAATACAAAGTTCGGTGGCTCTTCTTTTGTCCTTGCCACATTGAAGTGTCTATGCACATAACGTATCGCGTCTACTGAGCAATGTATTGATGAGTTTACAGTCAGGCAACCCGGGGAGATAACAGCCGGGTGCTGGGAAAGGAGCCCTGAGCAGATGTGGGGCAGCGCAGGCTCCTCCTCCCTCCTCTGTGCTGCTGACTAGCCGGGGTCTCACCTGGGTCCTCTGCACGCTGACATGGACCCCCTCCCCGTAGCACACTGTCCCATGCTTGCCCTCTGGAAGATCCCAAATGGTCACCGGGGCTGTCGGAGTTTCCCCATGTCTCTGCAGTGTTCCCACCTCGGTGCCCAGTTCCTCACTCTTGTTCTTTCAGCCTTAAAGCAAAAGTGCCTCGAGAGTATCTGCGAGTCAGTGTGAGAACCTGCCCGTCTTCAGGCCGAGACCTTCACCCAGCCTGGCCACGTCTGCAGAGCTCTCAGGCTCCAGCAAGATCACCCATGCATTGAATGTGGTTCTTTGGAGAAGTGACACTTTTTCTCCCCTGCAAACTGGTGTCAGGTAGTCAAGGTGGAGGCCTCGTGACTAATGCTGTCATGACAGACCCACCTGCCAGCCTCCAAGGGATGGAAACTTAATGTCTGTGCCCCAGAAGCTCCTGTGACGCTCTCAACCACCCGGATAGCTGGAAAGCTGACGGAGAGGCTCCGAGCACACAGGCCCAGCCTGAGCTGACACAACGCCTGAGCTGACCTAAATGGAGGACATTGGGAAGACAGAAAAATTACAAACTGAGAAAGACTGAAACCATATCCCGGAGAGAGTCACATACGATCTTGCTAAATTGTTAACTAAAATTTAGTTCCTTATAACTAAGCAGGCTTGCAGTACTGTGGAATCTACATGATCTCCACGTTCCTAAATAGGAGATGGTGAGAACCTACAAAAGGAGGCGTTGTAGGGCATTTTTTCAATTGCCATCTTATCCTGATTCCTCCTCTGTGTGCCCCTCTGTATCTGGGAGTTCCCAAGAGCACCCAGAGGCTCAGTGGTTTATTAGTAAGACCATGGAACTCAGAAAAACCCTTAGATTCACACACACCATTTGTGCAGCAAAAGGATTCAGATAAAAATCAGCCAAGGTACAAGGCAGGTAAAGCCAGTTCCACGGGAGCCCAGGTATGGGCTTCTGGTTCTCCTGCCCAGGTAGGCTGTGCAGCCAGCACTTGACTGCCCGTAAGGGAGGCCCACATGGAGGATGGCCCAACAGGGAGGCCGGGAGCTCGGCATCCAGGGATTTGGCTGAGGTCAGTCAGTGGGCATGGACTGTCATGCCGTCTCCGGCCTCTCCAGAAGACCCCCACTATACAGCACATGCTCACATAAGCTGTCTGGTGTGGCCACAGGTGAAGTCACAGTGTCAGGATAGTCCAAGGGTCTAGCAGTGATTCCCCAGGAGCTGTTCAGGGCCTAGGCCTTCCTGTGAAAGGTACAGGTGTGAGTCCCTGCACCTGCTGAGCCAGCCTGCAGCACACCCGCACACCAAGGGCCCCTTTATTGTATCGGGTCCCTTTTCATTGTTTCCATCATCCAACACCCTGATAGATGCCAGACTCTGCAGGGCATTACCGAGCAGGTTTGCTCTCTCAGTGGCTCTGCAGGGACCCTTCACCCCTCATGGCTGAGGACAGCGTGACTCCTGGGGTGCTCGGCACCCCTCCTCCCTTCCCCTTCTTCCCACTTGCATACACACTTCCCTTGGTGCTCCCTGGTGACAAAAGTCACCGTCACAATACAAATACAAAGCAGTTTCCCCATGGAAGACTCTTGGGTGCCTAGCAGCCTGTGGACCAAAATATCTGGGGGTGTAGAACTGTAACTGTGGGGAGAGAAGCAGTCAGAAATGTCCCTGACTGTCACATGGAAATCTTCCTTTTAAATCTCCAGAACAGTTGAGAGACCCTCATATTGATGCATGTGTTGAGCTCATACATACCTGTTGTCATGACTTTGGGGGCTGCAATGGCCTTCTGGTTTGTAAAGATGATGTTGGACATGACAAATTTTGAAGGGTCAAAGGAACACCCACCTGGGTAAACCAAGACTCAGTCCCTTTCACTAGGTGTGGGTTACTTTGATTAGATCCTTTCTGATGGATGAAGCTGAAGTTAAGGATCTTTGTCTGTCAGGACTCCACAGTTCCCCACAGAGTAACTCAGCACCAGGGAGATGAAGGATGGATGGATGGTCTGAGCCCAGGAACAGTGTTCTCCACTAGTGGGGGAGCTGGGGTGGACTTGTCTGCCCTACTCTTTGGAAATGACTGAGCATGACCATAACCTTTAGAAACCCTGAATATGGAGTCCCTCCGAGGCCTGTGCAGGAATTTGACCTAGCATCAAGGACAGAGGCTCAGTGGACCATGTGGGGGGGAGGGAGAGGTGGGGGGAGGCGGAGGGGGAAGGTGGAGGGTTTCTACTGTCATATCATCTGCCACAGTAACGGCGATACTGGAGGAAACAGGACCCAAAAGTGAACCAGTGGCACAGTTCACTGGTCTGGAGATTAAGGGTGGCTTGAGCACTCCAGAGCTGAATTCATCCTGGCTTAAGTGATGGACAGGTGACAAGGAAGTCTCAGGGGTGAGACTGAACCACAGATCCAATCTGTGCGTTTCTGGCCACCAGAGCTTAACTGTGAGACAAAAGAGATGTCCATCCATGCCCCTGCTGGTGGAGGGGACCATGTGCTAATTGCACATGCAATGCCAGCAAACTGAGCCCTTCCCAGCTGTGGAAGGGCTCACATTTCTGCTTCATTCCTGCCCAAAGACAAGCTACTTTGGAAAGGGTAGGAGAGAGGAAGGGCAGGAGGAGGAGGAGAGGGGGTGGGGAGAACTTGTGTCTCTTGGCCGCAGGCTGTGGCTCTGCCTGAGTTTGAGCGTGTGTCCCTGTGTCTGCACAGGTGAGCTTGTTGTGGGTGTGGTCCATGTGAGTGAGAAACTCAGCTGCCATCATGATGAAACCTGTAACCTTGAACTCTCATTTAGAACACTGCTTTTACTCTTGTGAAAATTTTAATCTTGACCTATTCCATCAACACAGAATGTCAAGGCACGGTTCCAGGGATGTTGGAGACCAGTGACTGTCAATCAGGTGGTTTGCCTCCAACCCCAGGAGTGTTTGGCAATGTCTAGAGACATCTGGGTTGTCAAAACGCATGGAGATGAGGGAGGAGAGGGCTACTGGCATCTAGTGGGTGGTGACCTATGGCGCCACAATGCACAGGACAGCTCTCGAAGAAAGGAATGATCTTGCCCAAATGTATCAGATACCTGTTACAGGTTATGGGAAGAAAACTCAAATTCCCGAGAAATGTCTAGAACAGCGAGCCTAAGCAGGTTGTGACTGCGTTTTAGCATCATGTGGGAAGCTGGGCTCTTGATTGTAGAAAGCTTGAGTTTGGCTACACTGAGCCCCGTATCCCCATCGACTTAGTAGTTTGGGAGTGGCACTCCTCTGTGCTAGTGAGGGAGGGCTGGGGCCACTGCAGTTTCATCCCTCGACGCCCCTGAGTGGCTGCACACCAGTAGCGACCTGGAAACAGAAGCTTCCCTGAGCCAGGAGAGCTACTTATTTGAAGAAGCCCCTCTGTGGTCTTTGGTAAATGCGCTGCTGAGCCCTGGCTTCACCTTCTACAGGCATTAGTGGCAGAATGAGCTGCTCACAAGGTCCTGACCAGGCTGAGCTATCCCCAAGAACGATCTGTCACATGTGAGCGTGGACCAATGCCTCAGGCTGATGACATCACGCTCCCTGTCTGTGAAGAGGAGCCAGCGGCCTCTCCCTCCAGGGACCACAGAGCAGCAGGGCTATAGGTGACAGGGCCAAGGCCTGTGGAACGCTGTGGTGCATCCTAGACACTCAATATGCTTGTTCTCCTTGTTAAAAATCAGGAAATAGGACACTCACAAAAGGGCTGGGGAGGAGGGGAAGGAGCTGGGGTTGCAAGACAGACCACACAGGGTCCCTCCTCCCGTACTGATGGGAAGCAAGCCATGGCTCCGCTGCGGCAAGCTCAAGGCCATGCTACTACCTGGAAGCAGGACCGGCAACCCAAGGTGTCTGCTCAGAAAGCCCCATTTCGCTCAGCCCTCAGCTTGCGCAGAGAAGAGCCAGGGCAAGAAGAGTCGCCCCCGATCCTCTTGCTGAAGCAACAGGGGACCAGACAAAGGCAGCTCTTTCCTTGTGGGAGAGCCAGAGGCTTTCATCTCTCAGCCTTTGAGGGGAGGCTGGTGCAGGAAACAGGGAGGCCATTGTGCTCTAATTAGAGCCCAGGTCTCCCGGAGGCTGGGGCGGGCCTTCGCCTGTGCCAAGCCATAGTATTAGGTGACCCCCTCGGAGGAGCCCACCTGCCGAGGCGCATGAAAGCCTGTCTTCTGCAGGTGGGCAGGGGAGGGGGCCCAAGACCGGGGGTCTTTCCTGGGATATAAAGGGCTCTGCTCCATCGGCTCAGAGCCAGACATCGCTTGTCCAACAGCCTGGCCTCGGAGTGGGCGCAGCACGGTAGGCCCCTGCTTCCCTGGATAGTGTGAGCAGCTGGAGGCAGGAGGAGGAGGAGGGCGGGAGGAAGGCTGGACGGGAGGGAGAAAGGGAAGGATAACGGGAAAGGAAGAGGAGGGCGGGAAAGAGGGAGGGAAGGAGGAAGGAAAGAGGTGCGGAGAGGAAGGTGGAGGGAGAAGTGGATGCAGGGAGAGGGTAGGGAGGGGTGCGTCAAGGGCTGAGGCCCAACGTCACTCCTGATTGTAGCTTGAAACCCAAAGCCGCCCCGAGTCCTTGTGTGAGGAGATTCAAGGCCAGGTGGACGGCCGCTGGTGGCTTTCCCTGGGAAAACCTCCACGGCACCACATCAGCCCGCCTGCCTGGACCAACAACGGAAGGATGCAGCTGTAAGCCGCAGTCCTCAGGCTCCCACCCCCTCCCCAGGTGCATGTTCTGAGATTAGTGCCCCCACTCTGCCCGGGGCTGGCTGCACACTGCCACCTTCTAGCTGGCCTCAGGACTCCCCTTTCTTGGTTCTCACCAGGGAGTTGTGATCTGCAAGTTGCCATCTGTCAAACCCCAGGCGGTCCTGATGCACTGGGTAATGTCCACAGGCAGAACCCAAGTCCGACCGGACCACTCAGGTTGAAGCCTGGGCCCAGCAGTAGCCGGGCGCCCCCTGGCAGTTTTGCCTCTTGGTGAAGACAGGTGGACAAGTTCCCAGCTCCCGGCCCCTTTTCTAGAAAGTGAGGCATGTGATGGAAAGAGGAGTCCCAGAGTTGTTCTCAGACAGTATAGGAGCATACTAGGTGGGGTGCCTGAAACAAAGAATGACTCAATAAATTAAAAAAAAAATAAGGTCCTAAAGCTGATAAGTTCCTTTTTAGAAAATTGTAATAAAATACATGGAGCATAAAATTTACCATTCTAGCTACTTTCAGTGCGCAGTTTAATAGCATGGAGCACATTAGCATTTCTGTGCAGCCGTCTCCAACATCCAGAACTTTCTGATCTTCCTCAACCAAAACTTTTGAGCCCGTTAAGCCAGTACTCCCTACCCTCCTCCCTTAAATTACTTTCAGGAATGAACTAGAGTGGGTGGAGGTTGTATCTATAATCTGGTTTCTTTGCTCAATTGCATTTGAATAAAAAGGTGGGGAAAGCCCCGTATCTTTTCTGAGCTGCAGGACAACCTGGGTGAGCTCACCCCTGAAGTGTCACAAGAAGAGAGGGACAGAGGTCGCTGGCACTACACCAACCCCTCCTTTATTCCCAGATCGGGACTCCTGTGCAGGCAGGGCATGAGCTGGTGGCCGCGAGCCTGTTACCATCCTGCAGCTGTCTGTCGAGCATTTCATGAAGGCTGGATGCTGTCAGTGCAGTTCCTAATGCACTCGAGCAACTTGAACCTCAGGTGCTCCTGTGCCTCCAGTGGACTGACCTATTCAGGCCCTGCGATGGCCTTCGTGGGGACTGTTACGTATTAGCACTGGACCAGGAGTCAGGAGTCCTGGGAAGCAGGACATTTTTGCCATAAATTGTCAGCCTCCGAGCCTCTGTTTTACAGCCTTCTGTAAAATGAATGTTTGGATGAGATGATGCCTAGGTCCCTTCCCAGCTCAGAAACCCAGCTATCTCACATGGTGTGATAGGAATAATAGAAGACCCAACACAGCAGGTGCCAGGTAGTGACTCAATTGCTCAAGCCACGTCGGCCCGTCAGGTCACCTGGGCATGACTTCAAAGGGGTCTCTGGGCTCCTCTGAAACACCTTTTGCCGCTCACCATCAGACTCTGCTGTCTGTCAGAAGACTTCTCAAGTCTCACCCATCATTTTCAGTGTGGTGTTAGCCCAGGAAGGAATCATTCAGAACTGCTTCTCTGCAGAACCACCAGAGAGCAGGTTGAACCTTGAAAATCAACCGGCCCTAGGACTTTGTGTGGCCCAAGTTCATAAAGCAGAGCATTGTGCCCCGACAGCAGCCAGACGGCTAGAGCCTGCACCAAGTGACACTCCAGACACTCACACTGCTGCTTTCTAGATGCATCCAGCAGTGACTGTGCCCCCTCCAGAGGGCATCTCAATAGTGATCCTACAGCCCACGTGTCCTCTCCCTTCATACACCTTTCCCAATACTGAGCCCTGCTCATAAGCAGAATGACTCACTGTGGCCCTAGCTGCATGTACAGGGCCACTAAGACATGGGGCAACCCGTGCCCCTGAGAGAACACACTGCAGAAAGTTTCCTTCCTGTGGGTTGATGCAGCCTTGTGAAGGACACACTTGGGAGTTGAGTGCTGCTTGGTTTTTTTTACCTGTTTACCCCTAGGTCAAGCACCCTTTGTGCAGTATTCACCATGTACAACCCTATCTGGCAGCCCTGGGTAGCATGCATCATGCTGTGTTCTCTCTCATATTTGGTCCTAAAATATAAGATCTAAAGCAGAACACACACAAATCATCCAAACTTCTTACAATCTTTAGGGTGTCATATTCTCAAGAAGCTAAAAGTATTTTAAAATCCTTCTGTTTTATTTCACTTTATATTTTTTCATCCTTATTAAATACATGGTTGACCAGCTTTAGAGTGCCCTTTGAAGTGAAATGGTGATCTGAGTACAGGCAGCTATAGCTGAAGTGCAGTAGGGTTCCTGGATTCTGCCCACCTCATCCCTCTGTCCCTGGAGCAGCCCTGGAGGCACATCTACTGACCCTAGGACTGCAACTAGGTATTCCAAATGCTCTAAAGCCCAGAGGAGAGGGAAGGTGGAGACGCTGCTGGAAAACGTTTGCTAGCCAGCAGCGCCACCACGTGGCCATGCGTGGTCATGAGCGGAGTGACATTGGTAGGCAAGTTCAAAGCCAGCCTGCCCAGGGAGTCTTTGGAATGCTGGCGACCACCAGGTGGGAGTGGTGCTGTCCTCACTGGCATCCCTGGACTGTGAACCTTGATGCCTGGCTCATGGCCGGCCTGGAATAAGTGATTATGTAATAAGTGAGTGAACAAGTGGGACCCGAGCAGCATCCTCAAGGAGCTCACGGCTGTTTCCACTTTACAGGTGGCAGAAGGAAGCTCAGAGAGGGAAGGGGGCCTCCTTATTGTCAAAATGCCAGTCAGTGTCGCAAAGCTGGGACAGAAACCAGTCAGGACTTTCTCCTTTGGCCACACACCTTGGGGCACAAAGAGGACAAAACTCCCGTGTTCTCGTCACATTCTGCTGACCTCTCCCCAGGAGGCCGTTCCAGTCGCTGCCTGAGCCCTGCCCCTGCTCTCCTGCTATGATTGTGCTCCTGCTGACCGTGCTGATGGTCCCCCGGGTTGGTGAGTGACGCTGTTTGACGCCATGTTTCCAGTTGGCATGTAATCACTTGCTCTGACACTGGAGCACGGTGGAACTTCATCTGACCTGCTCGGGAGTACTTTTGAGTACTTAGGAGAATGCTGCCTAGTGAGCGACAGAAATTGGACACCAACAGTGAGCCCTAGATTCAGTTCAGTGGTTGAATGGAATGTGCACGGGATGTGGGGTGGGAGATTGAGTGGAGAACAGGGTGGGTGGTGTGCCAAGAGACCCTTTGGAAACCTCCTTTCCCCCGAGGGTCCACTCCACACCCTTCAGTCACCGACGACTGCCCCTGGTTTGGCTGATTTCCTGGAGCAGCAGGGACTTCCTGCCACACAGCACCCCTTCCAGGCTGGTGCAGTGGGAGGACCACCCTTCCCTCCTCATCCCGGAGTCGCCCACACCAGCCAAGCCTGAGGACACCTAAGCAGCTCCTTGGCAGCTGGGGTGGCGATTTCAAGTCTGCGCGGGGTCCTGGCTGGAGTCTGAGGCTCTCCTACTCGTGTTATCATTCGTGTCTCTGTAGGGCTCACAAACACCTGGGCTTACACTCTCCTCCCTCCACCTGGGTGGGGGGGTCCACAGAGTCAGCACCACTCATGGATCAGGGGCTTCCTCCTGCCCGTCCTGTATTTGGGTACACTCTGCCCTTCCTGGGGCCTTCTGCACACGGCAGCGAGGAGCAAGGCCACAGGAACCCACTGCTCATGACCAAGTTAGTGGACAGCACAAGAGGTTTGCAGGTTGACGGTTACTCTACCCACTTGACATGAGACTGAAAGTCTTCCCTGTAGGCCCAGGTCCCTGCAGCCCCTTCCCAGCCCTGCCCTCCTGGGCACTGCAGGCCCCCCGCCTGTTGCTGGGCCTCAGTTGCCTACTTCCTTCCTGACTGTGTTCTTTCCTGATTGAGACATTTGTCACAAATTCAAACTACAATCCTAATTTGCCTCATTTGGGGTGACAAAAATGTGTAAAACTATATTTTACAGTTTTTCAGTCTATTCTACAGTTTTTCAGTCTCTTATCTATTTTTTTTCTCTTAAATGAGATCTTACCCACAAAATTTCGTTTTCCAATTTTTTTTTTTTTTTTTGCTTATTTTCTTTGGTAACTAACATCTTCCTCTTTCAAAAGAATACATCTGCCTTTGATCAAAACTCCTTCGATGACATCACCCCCACCTTTTACATGCATCTTTTAAATTTTTAAAAGACTTTTATAAAATTGAGACTATTGAACATCTTCCTCCCAATTCTTGTTTTTTTTCTCTTTTTCCTCTTTTATTAATTTGCCCCTATATTATGATAGTAAAAATGATAATAATATCTTCAAACAATTGTTATAAAGTGTTTGACGAACACTTTTTGGTATGCCCAGAGAAATTTTACTCCCAAACACAAACACCTGATTCAAGGACAATCACAGAAAGGACAAGTGCAGGGACTTGAGTGTCCTGTACCTGCAGCCCCAGTTCCACAGGGGTGAGGGTGTGCCCATTGCCACGTGGGACTGTCCACCCACCCACTCACCAAGTCTGGGTGCAGACTGGGAGGAAAGTCTGTTTCTGAGTCTGGAGACAGATGCCAAGGCCAGATGGAGGCGCATGGCTTGCGGAAACAGCTGTGAGGAGAAATGTCGCCGCCACCAGGCAAGGCGGGGGCCATCGGGCAATTCTGCAGTGAGGTGTGTGGGGGGGGGTGGACGTGTCCTAGACTGCAGTTGGGCCTAAGGACGGTCTGGCCAGGACTTCTAGGCAGAGTCCACCCAAGGGGCTGCTTTGGACTCAACCGCGGGGCCCTCACCAGTGAGCTTCCATGGTCGGAGCCCTGGGAACACCTGCCCCAGTGGTGATCTGAGTCAGACTTTAAGAAAACCCTAGGGGCGTGTTGATGGCCAGGAGGGTCTTTGTCATGACAAGGTCTGTCCTGGTGCTCAGGCCCTGTAGCAGGACAAGGAGGAGCCTCTGTGTCTGCTCTGTCCACAGAGCGGGCAGGTGCTGTCCCCTACCCTGCTTCACTCCAAGCTGGCTCACTCCCACTCCCGAGGGTGGGTGGCAGTGTGAATGGCAGTCAGCTGGCATTAAGAGAGAAGTGCCTTGGATGTGCCGCCTGGACCAGATGTTCCCTCCATCCAAGAGCTCTGCCCTGGAGTTTACTGGGCAGCCCCACACCACGCAGCATGTGTGGGTTCCCGCTCCATGTCCTCTCCCAGAACCTGGAGGAAGGGCGGGGCAGAAAGGTGGGCTGGGCATTCCCGGCTGAGCTGGGTGCAACACTCCACCATGAACTCCCACTTCAACCTGCTGGTGGACCTGGTCACCCCTCATCCTAGAGAGGGCATCTTCCACATTCACTTCCAGTTCACCAGCAGTCACTCACTGGCCATTCGGTGGTGCAGTTCATCACCCTCCCGATGACGTCAACAGAACTTGTCCTCCCCCCACCCTCTCTCCTATACAGGATGTGAATACACACATAGGCATCTTCACAGTGCTTACCTCACTCAGTCCCTAGTGCAGCGAGGACACAGTTACAAAAATAGATCATTGCAACATGGGAGGGACAAATACATTGAGAGAAGCCCATCTGTGACATTATGCTAGCACCGGGGGATGTGGCTCACACAGCCCAGTTTAGGGACCAGGAGGGGCTTCTTGAACTTTGAGTGGAGTCATAAGATGTTGGTAGGAGGCTCGGGAGTGGGTCCAGGGGAGCATCAGGCCCCGGGCACAGCACAGGCAAAGGTAGGATGGCAGGAAAGAGCTGGTGTCTGGAAAGCCAGAGCCTACAAGGTGGCAGGGCATGAGGTCCCGGGAGGAGTGACTGCAGGGGCATGGGGCTGAGGAAGCCAGCCATGCAGGGCCAGAAGACTCTGTGCTGCTCCGCAGGGTCTCAGGTTGTGGTCTGTAACATGGCAATAGTAACCTGCGCCTTGCATTCCCCGGGGGACTTAGACACAGCAATGCCTGGAAAAACCCTGCGCCAGCTCTGCCCTGCAGCAGGATGGAGCTACCACCCTCTCGCCAGTAGAAACACACTTCACTGATGTGGCACCAGTTTTATTGAGGTGAATTTTGTCCTCATACTTCCTGTGATCTTCCAGTTTGTCCTCCCTTCTCCCAACACACACCCTTGGCTAGACTTTAGGAATGAACCAACCCAGTCCTCTGGGATAAACAATCTAAAATCCTGGATGACTTTTCTAGTTGCTAATGAAAATGTGTGGGCGTGGATCTCCTGCAAGCAAGCTGAGTGTGGGGGAGAGCGTGCCTTATTAACATGCAGGGGTGACAAGCTCACCTCCCGCCCTCCAGAAGAGGAATTTAATTAGCAGTTGCACTAAGGAATACAAGTGAGGTAATTACCCAGGAGCAGCAAGATCTTGCAATCGCTGCAGAAGTGGGCAGCAGGTACTCAGCTGTGGGCTGTTAGGCTGATGAAATGATTTCCCAGGCGATGATGCCAAGTGTGAAGTATGCCAGGGCAATCCCAGGGGCTCTGTGCCTAGGGCTCGGTTGGAACTGGTGCCAGGTCTGTCTGTCCTGGTCTGAGGGCTCGAGGCAGGAGGTCTCCACAGTTCCCAGAAAGGAGGGAATTCCCTCCCCATGTGGACACTGTGGCACACGGGGAGAGGCTGGCCCTGACCTGACACCAGGAGCCCTCTCCTCCCTGGCACGTGGAGAACTGGCCCCAGCCACCCTGCGCTCCAGCATGAGCCTTTCTTCCCTCTGCAAACCAAAGGTAACTGATATGCCTGTGTTGTTCAGTTTGCAAAATATTTTATTTTACATTGGAGCCAAGAGTTTAAAATTGAAAGATGTCACCAAGAATTCAGATTCACAATAGATTTGTGAAAATCTCAAATGTGGTTCTCCTTCCCCAAGGCCTGGGGCTGAGTCCCAGCCATCCCTCTGGCTGTGGCCTGGACCTCTACTTCTCCATGTCCCCATTGTTTCCTGCTGATGCCCAGCGGTGGGCTTGCTCCTCTAACTACAACATCTGTCTGGCCCTGGAGAGGTGTGGGTTTGCAGTCTTGGGTCCTAACCTGGACCTCCTTTTCTCTGTCTTGGACAAGTGCAGCCAGCCAAGCACACTGGGTTCCCGGCTCCTATCGCACCCTCCCCAGCCAGTCTTCCCAGTTCCTCTATCCACGCAGTGACTGTTGGTTAAGTCTCTAAGTGAGGCATCAGCTCTGGAGCTACAGCAGCCAGGAGGCTCCTGCCCTCCAGAGTCAGTCTAATGCAAAAGGCTGGTAAGTAAGGAGACCTGGGAACCAGAATGAAAGGTAGGCATGGTGGAGGTCACTAGAAACAGGGGATAGGAGGCCAGAGGATGGGTAAAGAGCCTAGAATCCCCCAGGTCAGAGGAGGAGAGAAGAAAGACTTCCACATGGTATTGTGCTAAGTAAGCCTTATGTAGTGAGCAGGGGCTGCTGGGCTGAGCCATGGCCAAAGCTTTCCATAGAAGTCACAGACCATGCAAAGGCCCAGGGCACCTGGTGAGAACAGAACCATCCAGAATGGCTGGAGCCAAGAGGAGCCATAGTACCAGCCCACTGGCCCCGAATGCAGCACACAGGTGCACCACCGTGGCCTGGCTTGCATCTCATCCCATCTTCTTGCCTGAAAACTGTGTTGCTCTGAAGTGTCTCCAGCCGCCCTCTGCCAATGCAGGGAAGCTTCCCTTGGGACCTCATTAGCCACACTCCGTACCTTGGCTCTTCTTCTTCCAGTATCAGTAGGTATCACCACGGGAATGGGCAGACAACTCAAGGGTCCTCGTCCTTTGACTGCAAGGGCCAAGGCGACTCTTAAGCCCTCCTTCCCTCCTGTTTCCCAGGTGAAAAGTCAGAGAGGCTGCTGCCACCCGGGTCCCAGAACACAGCGGGCTGGGGGTGAGGGCCGGTGACTTCCTCAGCAAAGCTTCGGGGGAATCTCCAAATGAATGAATTTTCTCAGGAGACAGTGAAAGTGGTAGCTTCTGAATGTTAGTCAAGGGATAGCAAGAGGTGAAGTCCAGCTGGCTGGCTGCTGACCCTGGTCATTAGGCTCCCACCTCTGCCCAGGTCCTTGTCTTTCAGCTGGTGAATCTTACCCAGTGGTGATTCACACACAAGCACATGTGCACACACACACACACACACACACACACACACACACACAGCCTCACCCAGCATCACTGGTCAGGGCAGTTCTACTGGCATCTAGTGGGTAGAGGCCAGAGGTGCTGCCCAGAACCCTCGAATGCACTAGAAAGTTTCCTGCAGTAGAACATTTTCTACCCAAAACACCAGGCTGAGAAACCTGCTCTGAGCCAAGCAGGGCCTGGTCAGGCACCCTCTGGGGCATCATCCCGAGCAGATGGAGCCACCATGTGTTTCTATGATGGTCGGCTCTTGGGCTTTCAGTTGGAGAAGGTCTCCAAGCTGACAGGACTGGCTACAGAACTGTCCACTTGATGAGAAAGACTAAGTCCTTCTGCTGTTTCAGATGACCACGTGCTTTCCATCACTGGGGGAATGGGAGCCTGAGTCTTTAGGGAAGAGTCTGCTTGTCCCCATGACCAGGCTTCACCCTGTGCTCCACCAGGGTGCTGAGCTGGCTGCTGGTGGAGTTATCTCCAGCCCTGGTGTGGTCCTACCCATCATCCCTGTACCTCCCAGCAGCATGGTTCAAGGTGAAGTTCTAAATCAGCAGCTTCAAAACTAGCAGAGACACTTGTTTGAAATGCCTGTTTCTGAGTCCCGCTCCAGACTGTCAGGGTCAGATCTGAGACCGTGGAGTCAGAATGTTTACTGAGCCCGTACCCCCCGGTGATTCTGATGCTCAGTCTGGAGGAAACCCTTGTCCTCCAATACAAACTCCTTGGGGTTGAGGGCTCTTGCATGTCTTTACTTCTTCCCACCCCTTCTTTATCTTAAGAAACTCCAAAACCAGCACACAATCTAAATAAAGCTGTAGGCTTCATATGCAAAGAGAGCTTCCAGTAAGGCCCCAAATCTCTCCGTCTCCAGCCAGAATGCCTCGGTCCAAGCCGATCCCCAGGATAACTCCAGCCCCTCCTGACCCACCACACAGACCAGGCACACGGCAGGTGCTGGAAAGCCTGCTGGGAACTGAGTTTGGGGCATCCTCACTGTCCTCCTGGCTGTCACCTCCCAGTCTCAGCCCAGCAAGGGGTGGGGACAGAGTTTGTGCTAACACTGTTTCCTTTTATTTACAGGGGCCCATGCTCTGGACACCCCACACTTTCCCCAGGCGTTGCCTCCAGGACTCTCAAAACATATCAGTAAGGATTTTTGAACATTTCTTAGAGACAGTTAGGACACCAGCTAGGACATTGGCAGAGAGAATATCCCTCTGAACATGCCCCAGAGCCAGTGACTGTGGTGACCCCTCTGGTGTCTGAGCCGACAGTGGTCTCTAGTTTGAAACAAAGTTCAAGTTTCATCAGAAGACAAAGGCGGCTGGGAAGGGAGAGCAGCAAATGAAGCAGATGGAGAGTCTCCGAAGGTCCCGCAGTCAGGAAAAGAGGGGTGCGTGTGCACTGCAGTGCTCCGATTATGAGAAAGGAGGATCCACATTTGTCTTTGGGGAAGGGAAAATTGTCACAGTGATGGGTCATGAAGACTTCTCAGGAGGGTCCTCATGAGGACAGAGCAGCTGGAGCATCAATCCAGTGAGCCAGCTGGTGACGTGAGCCTTCAGAGGGGAGGGTTGAATGAGCCCATATGAAGTGTTGAGTCCACTCAGACCTTAATGACAAGTGGCCTCTCTCCCAATGACAGCACTCTCGAAGGAAGTACCATGTCCTCCAAATGTCTCTAAGTGGACACTTAGACCAGGCCACGCTGGCACTTAGAAGGTCAGGGCCCCGGCAGGCATTTCTCTCCAGCAGGGGGAGCCCTCGAGGCAATCTGCACAGTGGTCCAGGGGACCCTAGGATCAGCTTGGGTACAAAGGAGCTGGACTCAGGTGGAGCAGCCACAGAGCCAGCACTGACCTAGAAGCTTCATTCTCCCCGAGGATCAGTAACTCTAGTGACCATTCACAGGTATATCTAGGATGTCCAGTGGGGACATGCCCAGGTACAAGAGCCACACACTGGAAGAGCCCCTGAGACGAAGACCTCTCATCTCATGCCCCCTGCCATTTAAGGATCATTTGTGCCATCTAGTGATGTTGCCTAGTAACCCAGTTCACATTTCATTTTTATCAGGTTTCCATGGCAACCCACATTACTAGAAAGTTAGCCCAAGGTCAAATTTGTTCTTAGAAAAAGCTTGACCTTCCCCAGATGGGGAGGGGGAAAGGAGAAGAAACCGAGACTCTTTGTTTTCTCTTTCTTCCACTTAGATACCACATTCATCAATGGAATGTTTGAAAATGAGGAAAGTGTGGCTGAAATGTTTGGTAAGTTAAATCTGAAATTGCTTTTATCCACCAAGTGTCAGACATGAAATGTGTCTAGGAAATCTGAGGCAATGACCTGGGCCTTGGTGTCTGCCTCTGAGTGTCCACAGCCTCCCCAGCCAGCTTCAGTGTCCCCCAGGTCTGAGGAGGGTAGTGATGGCTTTTTTGTTCAGGTGAGTCACCCCCCTGCTGGATCCAGACAGTAGAGTGGGTCATCTCCTTTAGCACCCAGTGACCCCACAGTCAGAGACAGAGAACAAGGAGGGCAGCAATGAGTCATAGAGTCAGAAACAGTCAGTCCTGTTTTCCTACCTATTTGATTGCTGCCTGCTTCAGAGAAAGTCATTATTCTTGGTTGGTATTGGGCATGGCTCTGACCATCAGTGTCCCTAACCTGTGAAACGGTGACAACAGAACAACACACACCTAGAAAGATTTGTAAAGGTCTGGAGAGCGTCGGAGGAAGAGACCACCAAGAGACTGTCTCATGCAATAGCAAGGGGTTTATTGGAGGTCCAGCATGCTGGGGCTCAGAGCTCACTTGAATAGAGCAAAGAGCCCAGAGAACGGTTTAAGCAGAGCTTATATACTTTCCTTGGAGAGGGCAGGGAGGGAAGTTCATTGATGGGTCAGGGTGAGAGGGCAGTTTGCGTGCAACGGGGTAAGGGAATACATTCTGCAGTTTGGCAGTTGGGGACAGCACATTCTGGGAACAAGATTAGCAAACAGTTCTCAATATTATTAACCTTTCAGATTAATATGAAATTTATGGACTAATAGATGAAATAAATGCTGCCCAACATCTTATGTACTCTGTTGATCTAAACTTTTAATAGAACCTGGTACCGTGTCTGGCACATAGGTGCTCAGAAACTGTGTGTCAGAACACCTTTCCTTGCTACCCTGGCTTATAATTCTATAATGTTACTTGTATGATTTTACTGTGCTATTTGTGAGATCCATTCAACAAACCAACCATAAAAGAAACAGATCATATAGATATTTCATTATCTCACCTGACAGTGGTCTGAGGCACCAGAATGGATGAACTGGCTCAGGGCAGGTGTCAGAGACCCTGCAGGCCCACTCTGTCTTCCTCTGCCTCTTCCCCGAGCAAGCAGGGTATTAGCTTTAGGTTTGGGGCTTCATGGTTGAAACATGGTCACAACCCACATGTCCTCACCTGCATTGAACAAGGGAAAGGTGTAGATCCAAAGATGTCCTTACATGCCCGCACTCTTCCTCAGGAGAGAAGGAGTCCCAGAAGGAGCCTCACACAGACTTCCTCTTAAGTGCTTCTGGCAGATCTGGGTGGGAAGCTCATCCCTGGATCAATCACTGGCACAGAAGCATGGGGTCACCGGGCTTGACATGAAACGGTCTCAGAAACTGAGGCACAGGCTGACTTCTCTAAGAAATGTCAATTTCATTAGGAAGGAAGGAGAAACAAATGGCTGTTGGTGGCAGCTGGCAAGGACCATGGCTTATACGCCTGCTTCCCTTGAGCTGTTCAGAGCAGTTGAGGACACAGTGGGCCTCACTATGTGACGAGGACACAGTGGGCCTCACTATGTGACGAGGACACAGTG